CAACAGTGGGTAAACAATAACCAACCTCAACCGCCTCAAACGTGGGAATGTAAAGTTTTTTATTGAGATGAAATGAACAATGCAGCATTGAGACAAATGAGTTCAAGATGGATTTGTCGGCTTCCAGCATTTAAACCGATACCATATAGTCAGGCTCAGCATGTGAAACTGAATGATATTATTAAAGGAACCATCCCACCTCCACAACAACAACCAGTTGAAAACAAACCAAACTAAAATTTTTTTACTGAGATGAAATGAACAATGCAGCTTTAAACAGAATAAGTCATGGAAGACCACCTTTTACACCACGTGTTTGTAAAGTTCTTCCTATACCTCAGGAAGTTTTAGACCGACTTAAAAAACCTAAACAACCAGTTGAAAACAAACCAAACTAAAATTTTTTACTGAGATGAAATGACCGAAGAAGTTGAAACGGTAGATTTGACACCACAAACAAAAAGTTCAGAACCATTGTCAAAACCTGTCAAAGAACTTACAGATGAAGAAAAAATTCAATAATAGAAAGTGCCAGGTCTGGAAATAAAACCCTAACTATAAAGTCACTTTTCATAGAAATGGAACGGCTAGTATCTCAAAAAAGAAACAGACTCTCACAAATAAAATATTGAAGTCTGAAGGAGCTTTCGAGACAACAGATGGAAAAGTTTACTTCACTGACCAACAGTTCATTATAGAACATCTCATTGACTTAGAGTCGAAATATTCTAAACTTTACAACAAACACAAAAAGTTGAAAGGAAAACAAAAACAAATGGCATATGATATTTATGAAGATGTTGACGACACAACTGTTCCTGCAAGTGAAGTAAAGTCAGAGGAACCGAAAAGTGACGAAAAAACCGATAGAAGAAGAAAAACCAAAAACTGAAGATAAACCAAAACCAAAGTTTAGTTTCCAAACTAAACCAAGTCAACCTTCATTAGCTGGTATGGGTTGGCGTCAAAGACTTATGGCAGCAGGCGGTTATGTAAAGTAAAGAAAAAATATTTTTTTATTTTTATAAAATGCCCCATATAGAATGGACAGAAAGTCTGCTAGAATAAAAGCAGAGTTACAAAGATATGGTTGGAGAGTTTCGAAGAAGTTTAAATATAAGAAAGGAAAACCCATAAAAGTCTATGACAAACTGGCTGGTCTGACCTACGAATTAGATTTGGAAACAGCACGTGCCAATTATCCAAACAGACTAGAGAGGTTAGAAGAAGAACGTCTTATGGACATGCCTTTCGATGTTAGTGAACCTCAAGTTGAAGGACACGACGGCTTTGCCAGATTCTACTGGAAACATGACGAACAATTGCATCCTTTGAGAAGGAAAAAAGGAAAAGGTGAAGACGCACATGCTCCCATGGAAAGAACAAGATATGCATATGAAAAGTATCGTGAAGTTAGAAGTCAAATTACATCTGGTCGAACCTTTACAGTAAACTTTGACGAAGGAAAGAACAAAGAAGGCTTCATGGGAGTACTTGCTGCAATTCAAGACGGAAATAAGAAAGGACACAATCTCAGATTGACCATAACAGATTTGGATGGTCACATTTACTATGCACATGGCAATGAACAAACAGCCGCAAAACTTCTTGACGCTTTCAAGACTACAAAGAGAGAACAAATGGTTGACTCCGACTCAGACATTTTAATGCAATTGAAGGAATTGCAAGTGTCAAGTTCGAATGGTACCAACCTAACCCTCAAGTAGTGAGACAACATGCTGGATACTTCCCGTTCATAAATAAGTCTGACATTGACTTGACCAGGTATGGAATTTACAATTCAATTGAAACAATTGTCAATGAACCTTGTATTCTTACATGTCTCAGGAACTCTGGTCTTGTTACAGATGAGAAGATGAAGTATCTTGAGTCATGTGTGAAGACAAGGTACATTCTCAGAGGTCAATTGGCAAAAATTGCACCGTTGGCAAATGTCAATATCCGAGTCAACATACCTACAGCTAAAGGTTCTTCACACGACGACTATGTTGTTGACAAAGACTTACCATGGTTGAAGATTGTAATTGTTCACAACCACTTCATGTTGAACGAAAGTCTTACAAACACATTCTTTGGTAAAAGTAAGTGCAACATTGTCAGAGCTGTAAACATTCTTTTCGAGAAAGGTTTGTTGGAACCAATTCCAGATGACAAGCTGACAGAAACTTTTGTACCAAAAGACGAAACAAACTTTTCATTGTTAGCAAGACCAAAAGTTGTTCCAGACAAAGTTCTAGTACAAAAGAAGTACACAGTTCCACAAGGGGTTGGTATGTTCGGATACCAACCTGAACCAGAAGAACTTCCAATGAGGTTGCAAGAACTTCAAGATGCTATAAACAAACTTCCATTGAGACATCCATTGACGTCAAATTGTATTGGAGAGCATCTGAGTTAGGTCAGAAGGTTTTATATGAAACAGGTTGCTTCGACGATGTTTATGAGATAACAGGAGAAGTTTCTCAGAAGATAAGAGACTCACTTGAATTTCCACAAACTGGACTAATTGGTTGCGACAAGTTCGACTCAGATGAAAAGATATACTATGTCGACCTTAACGCTGCATACATGAGGTTTGTCCAATATATTCCGACTGGAATTCCAAACGAAGATGGTGAGTTCCCGGGAAGGAACTATACAGTTGGAAAAGTCATACAACAACTGTATGATATTAGGAAAGCTTCAAACCCCAAACTTGCAATGACACTCAAATTGCTTATGAATTCGACATGGGGATATTCCATTAAGAAACCTCAAGAGATGAAGAGTAAACATTATGAGAAGGTCGACAACTTTGTTGAAAGGTTTTCTCCTTTTGTTTTGAAGTACGAATTCACTCAAGGTCAAAGTGGCTTAGTAACCACATTAAAACCTATTGTCGAACATTGGTCTTACCCTCAGTTCGCAAAGGCAGTCCTTGACAACTACAACAAATTCTTCTCCGAAGTCAAATCCAAAGTGAAGGTTTACTATGAGAACATTGACGCACTCATGACGAACGAAGAAGGCTATAACAAACTCATTGAAATGGGTTTAGTCGGTGAAAAGATGGGCTGTTTTAAGCTAGATAAGGTATTTTCCGAAGTTCATGTCCTCTCCAAGCGTAAGTACTGGGGTGTTAAAGAAGATGGTGAAATAGTTAAACATTGCATGAAATAAAAATGTTTTTCAAAAAAGTGACATTTTTTAATTTTATTTGAAATGTACGCTGAGTTTGCTTATGTAAACACTAGAGATACAGATGGAAAATACGTTCAAATACTTCTTAACAAATTCAAGAAGCTATATGGCATACCATTTTAAAACAATATATTTTTACATATATTAAATGCTTCAGGTTGAAAAACAAAGAACAAAAGTAGCAGATACAAAACCGTTAGACTATATCTTTACAAATGCTGGTAGGACTATTTCAGATGAAGAAATTTCATCCCGAGCATACAGGTTTGACTATCCAATTCGTTGGCTTCAAAGTCCTTCAGATGCAAAGGCAATAGGATTTAGAAGAGTTTTGTTTTCAAATAGAACTAACGCATTTATGTTCGCAGTATATTTTCATGGGCAGTATGAAGGTCTGATGGTCTAATAGACAAATTTGACGAAATGAGAATCTTTACAGTTCGTTCAGACGAAAGTCTTGAGAAAACTCTAGATGACTTTCAAACTCAAATGAACAAATATTATTGGGAATTTCAAGAAAAATACGACTCTTTACTAAATGGAACATACTATCTGAAACTAGAATATGACAAGATGAACTCCACCGTTTCATTTCAAAAGATTGAAATTAACCCTCCAAGAGATACAGAGTTTTTATTTTGGGAAGTAGACAAACGTTCTTGGGCACAATTTCTTCGGTTACTAAACCAGAACGAACCATTACCACCAGATGGTCCATTTAAATTTATACTTCCACCAGCAGATTTGATGGTTTATAGAAACGTGTTTGACCCTCAAAATGTTATGTGTCATGCAAGTTTCAGTTCAAGCAACAATAGTTTTCTATGTATTGGTAAGGACCTTTATGACTTTGCTTCTAAATTCTACGAACCACCTAGTAACAGTTTCTCTGACTTTCAAGTTTGGTTCACAACAAATGGTGTGCAACATATTATTCCATTGTACTATGACTTTTATCTCGAATTGTCTTTCATATATAACTACGGAAAAGTGCTGAAAAAGTATTGAATGTGAAGATATTAGAAAATAACATTTTTTCTAACATCGTAGAAAACTCATGAAAACAATTTATTTTTGACACTTTCACAAAAAACATAAAAAAGTGAAGTTAAAATGAGATGTTTACTGAACTGGTTGGATGTCGCCTTCACAGGTTATGTAGAATGGTTGACCAGAGAAGTGAAGGAGACCCTTGAGAATTTGGTTCATTCTTGGGAAAGGGTTCTCTCTGTTTGGAAGTAGTATCCAAGGACGCTTGGCAAAGAACTTTATAATGGCTTCTCTTTTGGCGTCCTTTATGCCATCGTAGGCTGTCCCGTCTGGTACCTCAATTGGAATTCCAGTCGAAGTCTCGAGCTAAAGTGTAGACCTTCCCGTTATCCAACCGTTAACAAGTTTGCCTTTTACATTCTGCCTGAGGAAGTCTTTAACAAGCTCGTTAATTTCAATTAGGTAAATTGCCTCGTCGGTAGGTTCGACCTCGACCATTGCTACTGTCAGAAAAAGTACTGCTACTGTCAGAAAAAGTACTGCTACTGTCAGAAAAAGTACTGCTACTGTCAGAAAAAGTACTGCTACTGTCAGTAAAAGTACTGCTAGTAGCAGAAAAAGTACTGCTAGAAGCAGTAAAAAGGAAAATTTGAGAGGGTTTTCGACGATAAAGTACTGCTACTGTCAGAAAAAGTACTGCTACTGTCAGAAAAAGTACTGCTACTGTCAGAAAAAGTACTGCTACTGTCAGTAAAAGTACTGCTAGTAGCAGAGATTTTTATCGTTGTGGTCCGACAGGACACAAACGAATGTCCGACGTCCCACCAACCGAGTCCATTCCCAAACCAGAGGAACCTAAAGAACCACAACAGTCTCCTCAGCAACCTCAGTTCCAGCAAGTACCTCCGAATTACTACCAATTTCCACCTCAAGGTTACTACCCACCACAAGGCTTCCCGAACTACCCTCCTCAGCCTATGCCTTACTTCCCCAACCCTTGGATGTTTATGCAAAACCCTGCCCCACAATTCCAATTCCAATCTCAGTCCAAGAGAGACCAAGACTTCGAAGAAGGTCTGAACCGCTTACGCAAAGAGTATGCTACAGCTCCAATTGAGAGAAAGTTGTTCCCGGACCAAAAAATATAATTTAGGTGAAGAGGTGAGATTTCACCTCTTTTTTCACATGTTTTTTCACCCTCTTGAATTTTCATGAATTTTATATATTAATGTTTTCGTTAAGCCACTTTGTGCCGTCAGTCAGTCAGTCAGTCAGTTTAGGAAAGACTTTAGAAAGTTGTTGGAAAATAAGTCCTGGGAAGAGTATTATAAGGCATTTTGTGAAGAATATAGCAACCGTCTGAATTCCGGCGGTTGCTTTTTATACAAAATTCATGCAGGAAATTCTTGAGTTTTGGTTGAAAGAATACGGTGGAGCCAAAAGTGGCTCGACCCCAAAACAAGCATTTTATGAGCTTACTAAGGGCGTTATAAATGAATTCAAAGGTATTTACATACATCCTGACCTCGTTCATTTTGTTGCTGAATTCAGCAAAAATATAATTTAGGGTAGATGGTTAGATCTAACCTCATTTCTACCCTCTTGAATTTTCATGAATTTCCTTAAGATAGAAAAAATAAAGTTAGTTTTATTTTTATTTATTTTTTTATTTTGTATGTAAGATATGATTTCAACAATCGGCACAACAACAATTCAAACAACAGCACCAAACTCGTTAGTCATAAATCCAACATCTATGTTGGCAGAGATGAAAAGCTTTATTCCTTCTTCATATACTTTCGAAACAGAAATACAAAGAATAAAGCAAGAACTTTTTAACAAGTAATTTAGACTGTACCGCACAGGAGATGAAAAATGAACAGTATCTTTATGAAATGGAGGACCTCATCGACCATTTGCCTAAACTACCTGAAATTCAGCAGCAAAAACTAACTATTCCTGAATTCGACGAAAAATTGAAGTCAAAGCAACTGACTCAGTAGAAATAAGAAGTTCATTCGTAAGGTAAACTATGAGTTTCTAGATATCATTGCAACCATAAAGTTATGGACAAAGATTGCGACATGTTATATAAGAACATCTCTGACATATATAAATCGGTGGAGTTTAAAGACATACGACAACTTGTTTCATTAGCTGCAAAATGTGTATGGCGGATAAGAGATAAAGATAGAAGAGGTAAGTATGGAATGAACAGATAAAACCAACTGCTTCAGATTTAAAGAAAACCATTGACGCCTTGTTGTTTTAGCAGGTAAGGTTTCAGAATATAACGCAAAAATGAACCCGCAATGTTCTAAATGTAAAGCAATTAGGAAATATAACTACTCCGTCAAAGAGATAGAACGTATGAGAAACGACTATGCTGACTTAAAGAAAGAAGCAGAGAAGCCGGTAGAAATAAAATGGACATGTTTAATTTCTGAACAAAACTATCCAACTGCTGACGATTTCCTTCTATCTGATGTCAAGAAGAAGTATAAAGAAACTTTCGGCATTGTTAAAACATTCGATGTACTAAAAGAAGAAATAGAAGCTACAAAACTGTTTAGAGTCTCACGAATTCATAACGTTTACCATGTAAAACGTTTATAAATAATGTGGGTAGAAAAGAGGTTAGATATCGGGTTAGATCTAACCTTCTACCCTAAAATATATTTTTGCTGAATTCAGCACAAAATTCTGAGTAAAATAATTTTTAGGGCATGTGTCAAACCGTTGAGTTTTCACAAAATTTAAAAAATAACGTTTACCATGTGAAACGTTTATAAAATAACTGGGGTAGAAATGAGGTGAAAAAACAGGTGAAATCTCACCTCTTCACCTAAACATTATTTTTATTGAATTCAGCACAAAAATCATGAATTTCCTTAAGATAGAAAAAATAAAGTTAGTTTTATTTTTATTTATTTTTTTATTTTGTATGTAAAGACAGATATGTCAACAACAGAGAACACAACAACAGTTATAGTCCATGAAGCTATAAATGAAGAATACGAGTACATACAGTATAACAAACAGTTACGTCTCATTCGTTCGGTCAAAGACGATATGTACCAAATGCAAAGTATTTTGAATGCTCTTCGTTCTACAAAGCAAGCATATCATTGGTTTGAAAACCAACAGACAAAAGAACTTTTAGAAGAATTTCCTCATATGATTGCTTCCCTCGGAAAACCGAGAGAAGAGATTCCGTATGAAAATCGCAAGAATTTGGCTCCTGGTTTGAAAGGATATTATATTCATAGACTTTTAGTAAATGCTGTAGCAATGTGGGCTTCACCTCGTTATGCTTGTTATATTTTCATGATGTTAGGTGAACTATATAAAGCAGAACGTGAAGAGATGGAAAACAAGCTTGAAGCAAAAGACAAAAGCATTCAGAAAAGAATACCACGTTCGGTACCAAAAGGAAAGGAAAAGAGTTATAAGTATATGATATATACTGAAGAGATGGAAAATGAAGAAGACAGTGACATGGTTATGTTGCATTTAGTCAGAAGAAACAACAAAAGCTTTTACGACCTTGCTAAGATTTACAAATCTGCAGAAATTGGTTCTATCGCGAAACTTACCGATTTCAATGACACCGAATGAAGATGTGAAACAAATAGTTCAAGATACGTTACCTCAACACACTATGATATGAAAGGTTGTACAATACTTACCTTCAAAGAAACTTACCGCTACTGAAAGAAAAAATAACAGAGTATTTTGACAACTTCAAACAAGTAGAGTAGATGAACCATTTATTTTTATTGATTTACAATTTGAACTTTGTTTGCGTAGATATGAATTCTGAAAGAAGTATGAGGGTCTTGTATGACTTTGTACTTCTCCCATAGTTCATGTTTGTCAAACTTACCTGCCATGGACTCTTTCATAAGTTCCATGAAATCGTCTTCGGACAATCCGGGGAAAAGTATTATGTCAGTAAGTATTCTTTTAACATCCTTACTTAAACTCTTTGCTGTCTGTACACAAATGACAACTGAGATGTTAAAGTGTCTGAGCTTCTTAAGAATTCGACACATATCTTGTTCTCTATTCTTTAACAAAGATGAGAGGCGAAATCATCTAAGATAAGAAGACATCTATGAGGGTAAGTCTTCCAATCGTAAGATTGCAATTTCTTCGAAATGTATTCTATCTCTTTCTGTTTGTTTCTGAAGTGTTTCTTCTCTAATATTCTCTGCATTTCCTCATTTGGGTCTTTAAACTTCGAATTTATATACTCATTTATAGCATTATACTTCAAAACTCTTCTTTGGTACTTCTTTATCCAATCTAACAACTCAGTATCCTTTATACATACTAACTTAGACTTCTTTATAATATCTTTGAACGAATTGACGGTTTGGTCAAATTGACCAGAAGTACTACAAATAACAACCAACTCATAGAATGGGTTCTTCTCATCTAGTTCTTGTTGTTGTGCAGCCATTTTAAGATAAGTGAAAGTCTTACCCGACCCAGGTGGTGCAATTAGACCTGTTATACCATTCTGAGCAAATAAGAACTTGTCATGTATAGGCTTTATCTGAGCATTTTCTAACTTCCTCTTGTTCTTGTTTAAAAACATTCTCAAATTCTTGTCAATGTCAGCAAACTTTTTTTCTAACATATTTTTAGAAAAATTAAAATTTTTATCTTTTAGAAAAATGTCTAGCGATTTCGCTATCTATATTCGAGACAAACTTTTTGACAGCAAAACATCTGTCGACCATAAAATCTTACATAGTGTAAACAAGAAAGGTGAATTTGTTCTAAAGTTCTGTTTCTGGGAATATGACAAGAACCATAAAACATTACAAAGAGCAGTCTTAAAATTTGTCAATGACAGACTTGTTGACAGAGATGACGCCGATTGGAAAGATGAAGTCCAACAAAAGTTCTTAGAATGCAAAGAAGACACATGCGCTGTTCTTGAAGATGAAATAGAAAACAGAATAGATGAGCTATTAAAGGACAAAGAACTTTTACATAAATATGGTTCTGAGAAATTTGACGTCTCACCACCAGAAAAGAAGAAGAAAGAAAGAAAGAGAAAAAAGAAGAAGAGAAGAAAGAACCTGAACCAGTTCCAGAGAAAAAGAAATTTGACATGTAAAAATAAAATTTTATTTTTAGAACATTTCTGGGTCAATGTCAATGTTCTCTTCCTCTTTAGGAGTAAACACTGGCTTAGACTCTAAAATCTTTTTACCCAATTTACCTTGAACTTCTACAACTTTAGACTCATAATATTCATAGTCGTCTGTCTTCTTTGGTTCATAAGGTATAACAAGTTTGTATGCTTTGCCTTCTTTAAGGTTTGAGAACCTTCTGTCAAAACTTTCTTTGACTGTTAACAAACCTTCTATGTCTAAGTCTTCAAATTTCGCACCATTTTTAGTCACAATAGCAAACTTAACTGGTTCGATGTTCCAAACTTTGCTGAATGAAGACTTTTCAAAACGGTAGAAGTAAACATTCAAATATGTGAATGGGTCTAGTTCTTCTTTAAGTCCTGACATGTACTTGTTTACTGAAATATATTTCGTCATCTTTTCTATCGGATAAAAAATATTTTTTTAAAAATTTACTCAGAAAAAATTTTCTTTGTATATACACCATTCTGAACATCTAAAAGACTTTTGACATTTGCCAAGAATGTACGTTTAGAAGCTGCCATATAACCATATTCTTGACAATATTGTTTATATTCATCATATAAAGACCTTTCATCTAATGACACAAAGTCAGTTTCATCTATGAACAGTTCATATACACTCTTGTTTGCTTCTAACAATGTTTGTCTCTCTTCGGTATGTGGAATTTGTCTTGGATTGAACTTAGAAATATCTAATGTTCATGAAATATGAGAACAAGTGGTTGTAAAAGTCAGATGTCAAAGTTTCTGCTAAGTCGTCAAAATATTCTGTATCTTGCATATGAGAATCTGACGTTCTGACAACTACATATCTTCTGCCAGAACTTTCTAACTTCATCGGAACAGCATTGTTTGAAACCATAATGAAGTTTGCAACATTTTCACAAACTCTTTGGTCTTTATACTTTCTTTCAACAACTCCAACTTTGTCTGTTATAAGACTCTTCAAAGCATCTGAGTTCAAAACTTTGTGTATCTATACTTTGAAGTTCATTGCAAACTATAAGTTTCATATTCTCTATTGAGGAGTTAAACTTGCCACAGATGTTTTCTAAGTTTGTCATATTAGGGTTCGAATAACCTTCTAACAGTTTGCACAAAATATCTGTAAAGAATGTGTTCTTACCTGTTCCTTGTTTTCCAATTATAATGAGAGCAGTTTCATTCTTAGCACTTGGATGTTGTAAGATGTTTGCAAACCACATAAGATATACTCATAAACCTTTTCGTTTCCATTGCATATAATTTCTTTGACATGGTCTAACCAAGCTTCTATAATATTTTCTTTCCATTCTACTTGTTCATATTTATATCCAGTGAAAATAGAATAGAAGTTTTGGAGAAGGTGTATAAAATTTATACCTCGAACTGAAAAATCTTCTAACTTTGACAATAAGATATCCCAAGCATCTAACATCTTCATGCCAACTTGTACGACTTTTATTTTCTTAAGTTTCTGTCTACATTCTTGTTCAGACACTATTGTTGCTCTTGGTTTGTTAAAGACAACATCCCATTCTTTCATGCCATAACATTCTGGGGCAGAGTCAACATAAATGACTAAACGTTTCAAATTCTCGACTGCTTTGTTATAGTCTCTAAATGGACACATATTTCTGAATGCTTGGAAGTCATAAAATCTGAAACATCTATTCTGTACATTTTTATAAAAATAAAAAAAATATTATTTTTTTATTCTTGACTTTGTTGTTCCATTTGTTGCATTTGTTGTTCTTGAGCTATTTGTTGTTGAAGTTGTTCTTGTAATACAATACTTTCACCAGTTGCATCTTCCAATTCGAAACTTTCTGCCGTCATTGACAAATACATAGGACATAAAAGTTTTACAGGAACAAAGTTGCGTCAACTAATGTCAACGTTATACTTGCCAAAGTGTTTGAGTTCACTAAGGTTGAAAATTCTGCATTCGAATGAACAATAGGCAAACCAGCAGAGAAAGTATTGTTTATACGCATAAGTATCTTTTGGTCATAATAGTTTCTGTCGACATTCGAATAACACTTTGAACCTAAGTTTGAAACAATATATAAGATTGGTGTGCTTAATGTCAATGGAATAGACATTCCTTGTATGACACCTTTTCCTGTTATAGGAAACTGTTGGTAGTAAAAACCAGAAATAAGTTTTGTATTATAGCTCATATCATTAATAGTAAACTCAGTCGGACATCCAAACATAATGAAACCTGCTCTAGTTGCAGCACATGTTACACCCGTACTTAAAGTATTAAATAAGTCAACAAAACCTGTTGGTGGTATATCTGAGTAAGTATCTTCAAAGGAGTATTTTTTACCATTCACAACAATAAAGTCTTCTGGTGTCAAAAGAGCAAAACAGGCTTTAGTCGTCATTGTGTTTAAGGTTAGTTTACAATACCGTCCTTGAGGACTTTGTAAGTTTGTTGTTATAGAATTATATGACTCAGGGTTTTAGTCGTAATAGTATAAACCATTATGTCTTCTGCCATTTACTTACTTAGCAAAATAAACTTTAATGAAATGTTGTGGTCGTCAAATATTTTTATAACGTCTGGGAAACTATATTTTAAGTTCAATGTTTCACCTCCTTGCATAACGTATATCTTGTCAATGACATTATATGAAACACCACAGCAACCAATGTCGGGTTCTATTTCTTTGATGTTTATATCGTCTGCCTCTGTCAAAAGTTTCAATAGTTCTTTCAAAACTTCATGAGGTGCAATGACATATGAGTTCACTTTTACAGGGTTGTGTTCGACCAAGTTTAACATTATACTTAAAGCTTGACAAATCTTCTCCTGAGTTTGAAGTTTGTCTTTCAGTTGTTGGTAGTCGTTTCGAATATCTGCAACAGAACTTAAGTCTCTGTTAACTTCAGGATATGTTGGTTCTTTTACAGGAACAATTGTTATACCATCTTCGTCTTCGTATGGTTTCCCCACTTCAACATCTCTGTCTTTGACATTGACAACAACACTTTGACTGTTTGTTTGAGTTGGTGAATTTAACTTCACATCTGCCACCGCCATTAAACCTTTTGAAACACTTACGCTTCTATTTTTCGGAAATGACATTTTACTTAGAATAAAAAGATGGACATATTCGGATATCTTATTGAATTGAAGCAGAACAAAGTTTATACTCACAAACAATACAAATACATTGACAGAATAGTTCTTTACACAAACAATGGAAAATGTTATAGAATAGCAATATTTGCTGAACCAAAATATTTTCATAAAGCAAAGAAAGTTGGTATAACTGAAATGGTGAAAGTTCTTGAAGCAGACAAAAATATAACTTCAAAACTGACCGATATTACTAAAGAAAAGTTTATAATACAATATTATGTCAAAACTGGCGTACTGTCAATATTTGACGGAGAGAAGTCAGTTCAAGAACAACTTACTGACCTGCTGCCAAAATCTGCTCGATGGAAGCTGTCGTTATGCCAATCTGAGGAGCCCCAGCAGGTTTCATCGAACGAATCTTCAAAAGAGCATCTTCCGTGAAAAGTGCTATTGGTTTTGTAAACTTCTTTGCTCTCAATTCATCTGGACCGTCTCTGTCACCAGTATATTGTATTTGAACTGTACCAACAGTTGAAATACCACCCATAAAGTCTTCTGAGTCAGCAAATGGAATGACAAGCCAAAAGTTTGAACGGTCTCCATTTGTATATTGAGTTTTTTGACCTCCTGTATGAGTCCATACTTTCACATATGGCATAATAGAACTTTGCATTTCAGGGTTAATGGTTGTTGTGAAGTTGTTGTTAAAGTTCATAGCATCTAATGTCAAGTTGTATGACCTCATATCCTCAACTGTAGAATATTCTTCTCTTGGATAATATTTGCCATCTATGTTTATATGATATTTAATACCGGGGTTGTAGAAACAAGAATAGTCATTTATAGTTCGTCTGAACAGTACAAACATAGTATCTGCATGTTTCATTGCAGTTGTTAAAGCAATATCTGTTCTTGCACCTGCGGCTCCTGGATTTTGTTTTCCAACTTCACCTGCAAAGTCTTTGACAGATATTTGGTGTATAGGGAACATAAGTGGAACTGCAATATATTTGGCAGCTAAAGCATTTGAAATATCTGGGTCCAACATATAGACTGCAAGTCTGCTTTCTATTCTCTTGCATTCAAACTGTTCGCATGTAAACTTAACTGGGTCCCAAGCAGTTCCAGCAGCATTGAAATAATAGTTTACTTCATTGTTGAAGTTTGAGAAACCAAAGTCTAAGTCAACTTTGTCTTTGCAAAATTCGGCGAATGACGTTTGATTTGTTCCCTTTACGTCTGTAATAGTGAATGGGTCTTGTGTTGGTGCAATGACTAAGTTATTTTTGCTTGGAGTAAGTTCAATAGAAATTTTTCCTGCCCAGTTTGGTAAGTATCTTAAAAACCTGAAGATGAGGAAAGATGACAAAGGAACTCTAAGTTTCAGTTTTACTTTAGTGGCAGCAGTTCCATCTGAACCAGAAAGGTTAACATAAACTCCTGGAACGTTAGGGTCAAGTCTTCTTATTTTTTCAATATTTGCATACTGGTCTGTTTGTTCTCTAGCTTGTGGTTGTACTGAGTTTCTCAAAGCGAACCATTCATAGTTTGCCCATGTTACTGTTTGAACTAAGTCAGAGTTAGAATATATCTTATATCCATGAAAACTTCTGGAGCATATTGGTATCCGACATAGAAAATTCCATTGCAACCTTTCTTGTCAGACAACTTGGCAGAAGGTTTTATTTCAATGTCTTGTTCCACGTATAAGAATGAGTTGTCAATAGAAATAATATGAAACCTGTCGCAAGCAATATCTACTGTTGTTGAAGAACCTTCTCCAAACTCACCTACGTTTCCATAAGAAACAGCAGTTGTATATTCGTAAGTTCCAGGAACTATTTCTGACCTTCTAATGGCATTGTCGCATTCGTTATACCATTCGGAAACATTTCCGTTCATGGCATCCAAAACTGTTGGCGTTATATTCTGAGCGGCGTACATTTCATATGAGTAAAAATATAGAATAGTTGGATTTATGTGTCATAATAGAACCCACTCGGACCAAGCTTTACTTTCTTCCTGACTGAATCTTTAACTGAATCTTTAACTCTTCTTTTTCCTTCATTGCCACTACTTTCACTTTGTTCTACTCTTCTCTTCTTCTTTGGTGTCGCTTTTGGTAACTTGCCCTCTGCTTCAAGTTGTTGCATCTTTGCCTCATGTTCACCTAGTATGTTGTAAATTTCCCATGTCCTTTTTGCCTTTGGGCTCTGGTCGCCCATCTCAGGTAACCTATATCCTAGAAAGATTTTGTCATAGTTTGTATTTGAGTCTTCGCGTATTGTTTGCATGACTCTTTCCTGAGTTTCCGGTTCAAGCTCTTCAAACAGCGCTTGTCCATATGGAATAAGCTCGTTTCCAAATATATGTTTTTGTAGCCATTCTGGTTTTCTTTCCATGTTACCAATAATATCTTTTGTGAATGGGAAAGCTTTTACCCAACGTTTCAGTCTTGCGTCATTTATTTCTGTAGTTGGTTTTATTTTGTCAAGGAACATGTTTTTCAATACTAACATTTCATTTGGTACTGTCCATTTGAGTTTTCTTAAATATTCATCCCTTCTCGGTTCATTGTCTGCAAAGTAAGTTTTTATGACATTTTGCAAACTTTCGTTTGCAAGGTCATGTACAATAGGTTCTCTTCCTTCTCTCTCCCTAACTCTCTTTCTAAACTCTTCACCAAATATACCATCTCTATGGTTCTGTGTAGTTCTTTGAAATAAATGTTCTAGAACGTCAGGTGTTATATTTCCCTCAGCCATGTTCATTTCATACTGGTCCAAAATATCTGCATCTTTCATATCTTTCAATGGCATTAAAGCCGCGCTGAAAATACCAGCTATATCTGGTTCACCATTCACTTCCATTGCGTCTACAACTTCTTGGAATTGTGGTTGTAAGTTTATGAACCACCTATCCGGGTTAGCTTTATGACCCCATCTCATTGTAGTTCCATAGTCTGCAGAAACAAAAGTAGGTTTGTTTCCATATTGGTTAGGTTCTGAATGAACTTTAAACAATGTTTCATTTCTATATGTTTTGTTGAAATTTAACCTTTTATTTTCACCGAGTTCAGCCAAAGATTGAACGTTATATGGTCGTAAGTAAAAAGGATTATTGTATTTGCGTACATTTTCTTTCAGTACTTCCATTCTATGCTGAATATTTTCATCTGATGTTGGAGTCTTTTGTATGTCGGTGAACATTTTTCGATATTCTTCTACTATGTCAGCCGAATTTTTCTTAGACTCTTGGAAAGATTCCATATTCACCTCATACTCTTGGCACATATGTTCCATCTGCAGCATAATGTCCTACCTGACTTTTCGTTCTTAAGAAAGCATTTACTAGGTCTGTTTTGGTCTGTTGTAACTCTTTTTCTTGACTTTCCACAACAGTTGCTCTAACGGCGTCATAGGCACTTTGAACTGCCTGTCTCGTTGCTGCATCTGTTATTTTCGTCATATTTTGTGCTACTTCTCTTAACTCTTTGTCGAAACCTTCAGACTTCAGTTTCTTTCCAGATGAGAAGTCGTTCACTAGTTTCACCTTACTATGAAGAGCTTCGAAGGCGTTCTTAAAGTCAGCATTCATTAAAGCTTCATTTGAACTGTCTTCATCCGCTTGTATTTTTGTCCTTATTGACCCTATAAGTTGGGCTGCTTTAGCGTTGGCTTGGGCATCTAACCAGTCATTATTAGCTTTTATAATATCTGCGCTTTTCATTGCCTTTTGCATGGCTGCGTCGTTATTTTTACTTTCTTGTGCTAAGTTTTCATATTGTACGGTTTGGTTTTGCAACTGTAAAAGTTTTTCTGCCTTTACATTTGCTTCAACTTCTTTTTTATACTCATCGCTATCCATATATGTCTTCAGGGCTTTTTGTTTTATCTCTTCATCTTTCAGTACTTTATATTGAGTAGTATGGTTTTTCAAATTTATAACATCTTGTTCCATTTTTGCTACTTCTTCTGCTTTTTCTGACACTTTTTTCGCATATTCCTCTGTACTTAGTTCTTTCAGTTGTTCTTCTTTCTTCTTTTTCTCTACGTTTAACTCATTGAGTTTCTTTGTGTGTCTGTCATATTCTAGTTTCTTTTTTTTCACTTATTTGTTTCTGTATGTCTATGTTTGACTTTTTGACATCTGTTATTTGATTTTTGAGTGAACTCAAATTCATTTGACTTTGAGGGTTATAAGCTGTTCCGTCTGCAGCTCCACCATAGCCTGCCATTTTCGCTAAAAGTGCCGCTCTTAAACCTCCACTCTGTGCACCAATAACTCGGTTTAAAAGCATAGGGTTGCTTGACATTTGTTGCAACATAGTGGGGTCATTCATCATTTGTTGTTGCAACTGTTGTTGTGGTGTCAGTTTTACTATTGGATGTTTCAATGCTCTCTTCCTCTTACGTATATTCTTACGTAGCTTACGTGGCATTTTAAGTGAAGTTAAAAAGCGGTTTTTGACAGATGTTTATATGACACTTTTTGTTCAGCACAAAAAACTACTCGGTCAAAGTTTTGTCAGTTTTGTAAAATAACCGTCCTATCTCATTCTATAAGGGGAAAAAGGCTTCTCAAAGTATACTTCCTTGGAACGCCTGTAACTTTTCCTGTAGCGACGATAGACCCTTACTTGTCCGGACAAAGTTATACTATTTTGAGTGCTCTACAAAAAAGTCAACGGCGACGACTCTCAAAAACCGTCGTGTAAAAAGTTTTACCGTTGGACAAAAAAGTATATATAGAAAACAAAACACGTTTATAGTTCATTCAATATTTGGCATAAACCGTTTTTTCCAACGGTAACTATTAAATAAAATAAAAAAATAGAGGGGGTTACCGTTGACGAAAACCGTTTTTATTCAATATTCATTTTCCACAAACTTCTGGTCAGTTCATTTTTGTCTAATGCAAGACCACAGTAGTAGCATGACTGACAATTCTTTACAAAAGCTCTTTAAAGGTCAAACACTTATATCCTCATACTTTACTAGTATGTCCAAAGAGGTTACACAGGTTTCAGTCCAATCAGACACAAATTGAAGCTCAAATTCAACCAAAAGAAACTGCAGAAGTCGAACAAACATCAGAGCAACCTTCAGAACAAACAATAACACAACAAACTACAGAAGCTCAAGTTGTTTCAGTCCAATCAGACTCCAATCAGACACCAAACATACGCAAAGTTCAACTAAAAACTTACACTCCTACAGAACCAGAAGGTGTCTTCTCATTCTCAACAACAGAAGCAAGATATAGAAGACTCATTGCAGCTTATCCAAACAATTTGTCCTTAACAGACAACAATGACTATGATAGATATTTCAAAAGTATAATAAAACCAGTCGAAACATTAGAAAACAAAGTTCAAAACCCGACAGTAATGGTTGACTTTTTCTTGTCGAATTTGCCTTATGTTTCAACTATGATATCTCTTCAAGCAATTGACGAGTTCATTATTTGCTGTGAACCAAACTTAAGAGAACAGCTATATGAAACACTCAACGACTTTCGTCCTTATCCTTTAACTTACAATTGGAAAGAAGATGAAAACAAACGCGGTTCTTTCTCCTGGAATCTTTCCATTGTTGCTCCAGCTGGTGTAGCTGCACATCCATTCGAAATATATCCAAAATTGCATTACGAAAACAATATGCATATTATAACAACAGCCGCTTTAGAGATTCCTGAACGGATACCAGATGGAGAAGAAGTTTCAATAATATCTGTTCAAGCAAACCGAGTTGCAATGCCACTTACAGTATGCAAATTCACTCACTCAAGCAGACAATTCTATCAAAATCTTGAGTTCGTTTTTACTGGCACAGCCAAAATGCTTCTCAAAAAACCAGAACAAACCACAATAACCATCTTCTTATCTGGTTATTGTGAAGATGAAGACAATTCGGACGAAGAAGAAGAGGAGGAAACAAGCGAAGACTCAGACGATATCCAGTTCATTTCCATCCGTAAAAAACATTAAAGCAAACATTTCAGAATAAAAATTTTAATTTTAATCTAAACAAAAATTTTTTATGGGCTAGAGGGCGCAACGCGCCTGGAAGCCCCACCTACCTGACCTCATTTATACTTACAATTGCTTGTACATCTTATACATGTTCTCACTTTCAGTGAGGGAACCATTAGCATTAGAAATGTAAACTATTCAAAAATTATTCTTAGTAAAATTTGACTAATTTTCAAACCTTTTTATATTTATGTAATTTGAATATGTATCATAAGATACGCAAAAATCCAATATTATGAGGATTTCTGTCGTTGCAATTTCGAGATGCAAAATTTTGTTTTTTAATTCGGTATTTTGACAGGTGTGATCTTGATGTTATCTCCAAGTAGTGGCACTCTTGCTATATTATTAAAATTAACGAAGTTGATCTTAAATTGGATAATGCGGTAGAATATCTGACTATACAGCTGGATATACTATAAATAATAGTTGCTGATTGGAGTAATAAATAATACTGCATCAATTGTTTCTTCAATTTCTGGCATAACGAGCAGATTGGAAGCGATCTATGACCCTTGGAAAAAAGAAGATTGTCACTTTTCAAAAATTAATATGAATGATTCCATTCACTGTGTTGGCATAGATTTTGGAAATATGAATACAATAGTTGCAGTTAACACTAATGGAAATATCAAAATCTGCGTAGACCCTTCATCTACAAGGACATTACCAACTTTGGTATCGTACGGTGAGGAAAGACGCTTTTTTGGAGATGAAGCTCGACGGAACCAACTCGTAAACATCAATTCATCAATTACATGTCTCAAAAAATTGATTGGATTAAAATATAAATCATCGGACCGAGAAAGAATAGCTTCTCATGTTCAGTTTTCTATGATTGAATTAGAAAATGAATACACTGGCACTGTAATTAAAAATATTGCTAATCAATACATTTTTACACCAGAACAATGCATTGCATCATTTTTAAAGTATTTAATTAAAATTGCTACAGAGATTGACTCAAAAGTAAACAAATTATATTTATCAGTTGATCCAGGTTTTTCAAATATTCAAAGAATTGGACTTTTGAATGCAGCAAAAATAGCTGGAATAGATTGTGAACTTGTCACATCAACAGTTGCTGCAGGAGCAGCATATATACACTCTCATACAGATAAAATAGAACAAGCTCCTTATCAATCAAAGACAATTTGTGTAGTTGATATTGGTGATTCTTCATTAAAGGCTAGTATCCTCAAATTGTCTCAAAATTCCATTGAAGTTATTGCTCATCGACAAAAAAATGACATCAGTGGCAACAAAATTACTGAACTTCTAACTGAGTACCTACTCAACATTATGTCACAGGAATACTCCATCGATCCTAGAGACAAACACTCGTCCATGCTTCAATTTCTCAAGTCTGTTGAAAAAGCCAAGAAAATCCTCTCAGTAAACACTTCTGTCCAATTTGAATACCAGTATGGTGATAAATACATCAATTTCCCCATTAATAGAGAAGATTTTGAAGACCTAATCAAAAAATATGCAGTAAAATGTGCATCACTTGTCAAAAAACTTATCGAAACCAGTCGTGTCCAGCCAACTTTCATAGAACTCATCGGAGGAACATCTAGAATTCCGTTATTCCGCAAAAAAATCGAAGAAATCGGAATTGAGGTTGTTTCAAACATCAATGTTGATGAATGTGTAGCCATTGGATGTGCTATGAAACCTTTTTTGCAAATTAGAGACAAATTATATCATTCAATCAAAATAGAATCAGGAGGTATAAAGATATTTGATGCTACTGAGAAAATTCCGACAGAAAAAAGGACTTGCAACATTCAAAATGCAATTTTCTCATGTAAAGTAAAAGTTGAGTCAAATGGCAGCGATTACAAGGTTTATGTTGACTCAAATGGAGTTTTCAGAGTAGATTATGACATCAATTACGTAAAAGTTACAATTCCAAACGATTTTTCACAAAATCAAATCGATAGATTCAGAGAAATCGAACAATACTTGGAAAAACGCGACAAAGATGCTGTTGAAAGCGATGAATCCAAGAATAAGCTTGAGTCAACGATATATGAAGCGGAGAGATTATTAAAAGGTGAAGGATTAACGGAAAAAGCATTCCAAAAACTAGATCAGAGGGCTAAAGAGTGCAGAAAATGGTTTGACGATAATGAAAACGTCAGACATTCGAATGATAAGTACAATTACAGAATTGAAAAATTATCTTCATCAATGTCGAAGGCAAAACATAGTTTAAACCTCAAGAATGAAGTTAAACAAAAACTGAATACACATAATTTGACTATTTTCAGGCTGCAGCAAGAAATCAGCAAAGATCGGCCGAGAAAAGACGATGGATTGAAGAAAAAGCTGCTGGAAATGCTTGAGAAATGCAATGACTTGATTACAATTGCACAGAAACTGTTTCAGTACCCAGATATGCTGAATGAAGTTGGCAAAATCTATGAAAAACTGGAGGACTGCATTAACCAGACTTACAACATGAAGACTGAACTGCTCAAAAAGCCTTTGTTGGTGAGCATGAGTAGAAACCCAAGATAAGATGGGTGCCATAGAAGAAGTTTTCTGTATACTGGAAGCATCCAAGTTTCAATATCATAGAAATAAAACTTCAGTATATACACTACTAATATATATTTAATATTTATTGGTCTGAATCTTAAATTGAATGTTTTTTCTCGCTTCTGGCTTCTGCAATTGTTGTTCTGAAAGAGATTGAATGTTTTTTCCTTAACAAATGATCTTATGATGCCTGAATTTTGTTTACGTTTCGTTTACAGCTTGTTGATTGAGAATTATCTATTATTCATTGCTGACAATCCACAGAACAGTTAGGAAATTACATCACTCATCTGAGATCTTTTGCCATCTACGGACTTATATCACCTCTTTTTTTCATGATAATGTCATAATTTCTTCAAATAAAGTTAATATATTCACATGATGCAAACATCATTGAGGGAGAAAATTGCAGCATTAAACAATAGTAAAGAAACAGCCGTGCTTCTTATTTCACATGGTTCATATTAGAATGTTCCATATATTGCATATTTGATTAATTCAGAATCATTCCATGCAATTTTGTCTTTGAGATAATTAAATATTTTAATTGATCCGAATAATGCTGAAATTTCGTGTAGATTCAGTTCCTAATCTTTTAGAAGATACAAATGGCTTCCAAATATTTGTGATGTTTAAATTTTTTGATTGATATCAACATTTGATAAGTTTTCTTGCATATCATTGAAGAAATAGTATAAAAGTATATCTTTTTCATAAATTATTTGTGTTTCATCTGAAATTGTTGTAAGGACTGATAATTCTTTCCAAAAAGTAAATATGATATAGCGAAAGAAAAATGCTGCTTCCGGATACATTAAAGTCAACAATGATACATATTTCAATAGGGCTGTACAAAATCGAGAAAAACATTGCCGTGCGGTAATATAGGGTCAAAAAAATCGCGCCTCGGCGGCTCCGCCGCCTCGGCACTATTAAGTGCGCATTATATTTGATATGTCCTTCTTTTTTTTTCTTCTTCTTTTCCTTTCCTTCTTCCTCTCCTTCCTCTTCTTTCCTTCTCCTTCTCTTTTTACAACAACGTCGAAGATCTTCGAATTTGATTGTTGGAAAAGCATCTATTTCAGATAAAGGATGCCTTTCTCACAGTCAACATACGAGGGTCCTGGCTGAAACGTTCTCAAAAAGCCTGAGATGGTAATTCTCTGATCACTCATAGCTGGGCAGGTAGTCATTGCTGACAATACCTGTCTTTATGCATGCACGCTTTCATGTATATGGGTTACACTATCAATTCGCAAAGTTGTTCCGAATTCTTCCAAAATGGAAGGACCCGAAACAACTTTGCTTGTTAACGATACAGACGCATTACTTTGCATTGATACTGTGCTGATTGTGTAGAAAGTTTGATTAGAGTTGTTTTGTTCTGGTATCTCTCATCTTCTGATGAGAGAAATCAAAGCAACACAACTCTAATGAGTTTGTTTTCACTCATTTGTATGTAGGTTTTTAGTTCGATTGGAGCTGCTTCATAATGAGATCTCTCATCAATTGATGAGGGAGATCATAACAAAGCAGCTCTAATGTATATGCTCGTATTAACCGGGTTGTAATGCGTTGTAACGTCAGCTTGTAGTTCGTTTGGGGCCACTTCACATTGAGATGAGAAGAAATGATTAAAGGACTCTGAAAGGCTTTGGCCGTTGATGTTGTAATCGCATTACTTGGAACTAGCTGGATGCTAAGCTGTGTAGAATGTTCGATTAGAGCTGTTTTGATATAATTTTTCTCATCATAAGATTGGAGGAATCATAGCAAAACAACTCTAATGGGTTTACCATCATCTACTTGTATGTAGATGTTTGGGAAATTGTCTTGTTAATCGATTTTCGAGATGACTTTCAAATGCTATAATCAAATGACAAACAAGTCTAAGATTTCTCGACAATACATCAAATCATGATGTTTGTAAGTGCGATGAGATTAGAGTTTTTGAAGGAATGACAAGATAAGTAGGGAAGCTCGGCATTCGCCGAGCAAATTAAAAATTAACGTATGGATTAAATTTTAAGAGGAATTCAATTTTAATTACGGGTTGTTCAAATATTGATTAATATAAATTTATTAATAAGAATAAACAATTTTTGTTTTTGAATTTATTCAATTTATAGCTTTACATATAGTTTCAAAATTGTACAACTATGATTATTTCAACAAAAAATATCTTACTTTTTCACTTCACTTTCACCCTCACTTTTTCCGTAATTCAAATTTCAACATTATGTATTTTAATTCCTTATAGTATTTTTAACATAATTAATCAAATAATAATTGGAAGTTCTGAACTCACTTTTCCGTAATTCAAAATCAAAATATGAATAATATATCTATTTATTATATACTAATGCTATTTTCAACTAGAAGTGAGGTACGGTAATCTTACGGATTCCCGTAACTCAATTTTACGGAAAAAGTGCAGTAAACTACTCAATTTACGGAAAAAGTGTCGTAAACTATTGATGTGGCGGTAAAATCACGGTAATTCACGGAAAGCTATATGCGAAAATTTGAAATTATACAAAATCGAGCGAAACACTTTTAAATAGGTTGTTCTCGTATTTAAAATACTATTCCCAGATTTATTGTCGTCAGAATATTTCCAAATTTTTGCCGATTTACAAAAAAAAAATGATTTACAAAGCATATTTTTTAATCTAAAAAAAGGAACCGGTGTGCGGAAACCTCGGTAAATTACCGCGGTTCCCGTTGGGACTGCCATATATTTCAAGTACACAGATGCTTTATGAGGATTCAAATAAATAAATTGGCTGATGATATAGGATATTTCTTTTGGACTTGTTATTCCCTGTTCAATGAATTTTGCTATTGCTTGCATATTTTGATTAATGAACGAACCATTGTCATCCCATATTAAATTTGGTAAATCCAAATAACTGATGCTCATTCAGGTTAAATGATGTGATTTAGGAAAATTTTTTCATAAAACATGTGGTAGCATGTCTTAACATGTTTTAATATGGCTTTGTGAGTTATTACAGGATTATGAAACTTAATATATAATAAATATATTCAATGAATACCACAAATGGATGTTATGATCTTATTTTAAGAAGTTAATACGAATATTAAAAGATTGGAGAATGTTTGATTTTTCTTTATCGAAAATACTTTCTTATACTATCCTAGACAATGAGTTTCCAAAAAATCAAAAGATTTATTAAATTTTAATCCTCCACAATCAAATGATCTTCACGAAAATGTAGCTTTGCTTTGTTTTTACATGATCATAGATGGCAAATTCCCAGAGTTATATGCATATTTAATTTAAAATGTCGCAATTATTAAATTTATTAAAAAATTAGCCTTTTAGAAATCATCTGAAATGTATTTTATAATTTGGAATGTGTTGAAGCAAGCTTTTGTTTAACGATTTTATCAAATTGAGGTCTATTCTCTGCATAAAGTTTCCCAGCTTCCATATCACGGACTTTTTCAATGTTTGGATTCTTTAACATATCAATAATGATTTGTACTATGTCTAATATATGCATACTAGCCTTATAATGATCTTCACCCCAGCAGATATCTCCGTTTTCATCAACGTTTGGATGGAAAATTGGTGGTGAAACTCTAACATCTGGGGCTTGGTGTGGATATTTAGCTGGCAGTGTTAAATGAAGTTTGATCCGGAAACCTTCATACGGTGTACCTGCTGGACCTGGAAATGAAATATTCCAATTATTTATATTATCTTCAATAAATTCTGCAGTTGCTCTTCCTGGAGACTTCTCGTTTAAACTCTTGAACTACATTTGAATTCTCTTTGCATTTATTTTGGAAAAATGAAGTCACGAATTTTGAAAACAAAATTTACAATTTCTTGACTACCAAAAATATTTGTTGGAAAATTTTATAGAATATCACTTTCAACATAAGTTGAGATGTAGCAAATTCATCACATTAAAAACCAGTTATTAGTAACAACTAGCAGCAAAAAGTTTAATGTCATTTTTTCGTATCGCTCTCCAAAAAAATGGTTTTATTCCAGCTAAATAACAGAACACTCCAGAGGATTAATGATTACAATGCACAAGACAAAATTACTTTAACGATAAACAATATCGAAATCGTATTTAACAAATCTTTTGCAATCGCAATTTCTCAAAAGATATATTCTCAGTATCTTTTAGATAAAAACATTGATAAAATTGATGTAAATCCTGATGTTACTTCGAATGATACATACAATATCTTAAAAGTTTTCCTTCAATATCGAAATACTGAAATTGATGTTGATGAAACAGTGTTGAAAGATCTTCTTCACGTCGGAATGTCTCTAGAAATCCAAGAGTTAATAGATTTATATAAAATGAATGTCATTGATAAAATGAATTTAGATATAACAAATTGTATTCAATTACTTGAATTTTATATGGATCTTTCCTGGAATGAGAAGTTAATTGAATGTACTGACTTTATTGCAGAACATTTCTACGAAATTGATCAAAACCAACTTAAATTAGTTTCTAAAAAGTTTGGAGTTAATATTTTAAAGCAGATACTCAACAACAAAAAACTCCAAATCGCTGATGAAGATTCACTAGCTAAATTCATCATATCTCTTGCAAGAGAAGACATTGTTTTCAGTTCATTGTTTGAAAACATTTATTTTGAGTTTTGCAAAGAAGAAACAATCAGAGAAATGAAAGATTTCGTTACATCTGATAACTACCAGGATGTTGTCAATTCACTTGTTGACTCTATCATAAGATCAAGAGATCCTAAAAATAAAGATAGATGTGGTGTAAAAGAAGTAACAAACTACTTTGAAAGCGGCAATGTAGTGATGTCAGCTTCTTCCATTGACAATGAATCAGTCGAAATTATTAATAAATATAGCAATGATACATATTTTGTATCTAAAAATATACCTAATTCATGGGTTGAATGGAAACTAAAACAAAATTATTTAATTCAGCCAACAAGTTATATAGTTCGAACGTCACCAAACTATGCGTCCTTTAGTTGTAAACTTCAAACATGGAAAGTTGAGGGATTAACTACTAATGGGGAAACAAAAGTCATTCATGAAGTTTCTAATTCATTATTAAAAGAAGGTGAAATTCGCAAATATGATATTACATCTCAAGATAAATTTGTGTCATTCAAATTAATTCAAACAGGCAAAAACAGTAGTAATACAAATGACTTACTTATTGACGTTTTTGATTTTTCAGGAAAAATATTTGAAATATAACTCCTTTGTTAGTCACAAAAATGGTAAAAAGTTAATATATTTATTCATAGCAATTGTATTAAAATTTTAAATAAAACTTGAATAAGGGCATTATTATTTATGAAAAAGCTGTCCATCAGAATCAAATGAAGTACAATTTTTGACCAAAAGTCAAGAGCTTGCAACGTTACAATTTCAGGTTTCTCAAGAAAATATTTTAAATTTTTTTTGACATGTAAATAAATTTGTCAAAAAATTATGTTACAAAAATTTCATTTTTTCCAATCAAAGAAGAAGCGGAAATGCAATATTCTCACCATTGACAAAGTGCCTATTTATGATTATATCTCAATCAGAAACGACATTTCGCATGAAAATTTAAAAATATTTGAAGGAAAATACATGAAAGTTATTGATATTTACGATTTTATTCTTGCATTTATTATTTGGATTCTCTCGTTCTACATTAGATCTCATAATTTGATACATCCTCCCTCAGTTGCTTTTGATGAAACCTTCTTTGGCAATTTTACAAACTATTATTACAATAAATCATATTTTATTGACATACATCCTCCATTAGGCAAAATTCTCCTATACGCTGGCGCTAAGATAAATGGATATAAAGGAAAATGCGAGTTTATTCCAGGGAATGAGTATAAAAAAGACTGCGGATATCATTTGCTAAGACAAGTTACATCGTTTTATTCTTCATTTTGTCCTCCAATCAGTTACTTAGCGCTCAGATATTTTAATATCCAAAAATTATTTGCTTTTTCAGGAGCATTAATGATAGTATTTGAAGAATGTTTTATTATAGAAGGCAAATTCATCCTTACAGATGGAATATTGCATACTTTTGTTGCAATTGCAATTTTATCTATCGGAAAACTCTTTTCTATTGATGCATCATCTAAGGAATACAACAAATACTACCTGATAATGTGTATTTGCGTCTCAATTGCATGTTCTATCAAGCAAACAGCTTGGTCATTATTAGCTTTAAGTTATTTTGTTTATTTGCTGCAGACATTCTCAGATAGTTTATCTAAATCAAAAGGAAAGTTCAGAATTACCCTATTTACGACATGTTTCATACATTTCTTAAAATTAATTTCAATTTTCCTTTTAATTTACGTATTTATTACATGTATCCATGTAACTCTTATTCCTAATTATAACCAACAATTCTCTGGCCTTATTTGTCCCAAATGTATCTCTAATTACAAAGAAGCAGAAATTGAATGGCAAAAATGCAAAAAAGTTCCATTAATCATCAGAGTTATCAAACTCCTTTTGAATATGAACAAAACCAACATGGAAATGTGCGATAACGATGGTTTGCCATCGAGATGGTGGAAATGGCCATTAATGGATAACCAATTGATCCATTTCTACAACAATAACGGGAAAGCCATTATTCTACATTTGAATATATTCAACAGTTGTGTGATTCTTCTCTTTGTTTTTATATCAATTTTTATTATTTATTTTTGTTGGTTTGAAACTTGTTCAAACAATGAAACAATGAAGAGAACATTGAGTTCTATGATATTTTTGATAGGATATTTAATTTCGTTCCTTCCTTTTTGGCTGATTCCAAGATCAACTTATTTATACCATTATTCTATTCCTTTGTTGTTTGGAATTTATTTAGTTTCTGCTGATATCAATATTTTATATCAAAAATACAAGAAAATTGCTGTTTGTTTAAGTATTTTAGTTGTGTCTGGAACAATTATTAGTTTTATTATTTATTTGCCATTGACTTATGGATGGGAATTGGATAGAAAACAATTCATGAAACTGATGCTTAGAAATGAATGGATTTTTGACAAAAGAAACCTAATGTGATATATATATATTTTGTTTGTTGTATATAAATTGATATGTTTGCACTTAATTGGTTTATTTATTACATTTTAATAGATTGACATTTCATGCAATAATATCCATGAAAATCATTCAAATTATTTTTAGGTGACGTGATTCACCTAACTATCATATTGACCATCAAGAGTATATTTTCAACTTTCTGATATTCTCAATTTTTATTATACAATTTGCCAAAGAAAGAGTTCTCCTTATAGATGCTTTAGCCTTCATAATAATTTTTCAAAACAAAATGTCAAATGATTATTGTAGAAAACAACATAATTATGAATGAAAAGTTAAGGACATGTGAGTGGGATGTAAATCTTAAGGGCGCACTTACTTTTTTCTGACACGTTCAGAAACATCAACATATCTTTATTTTAATGGCAAAAGAGTATAATAGCCATTTTAGAAACTAAGCAGTGATTTATATAATAACTTTTTCTCGATCAAAAAGGGGTGCTCTATAACGATTATTAGAACTCGAATGTATGGATTATCCAGATTCTAGGTACTCAATGTAATAGCCTTTAAAAAAAATCATAAAATCATAAATTTTAGTCATTGAATCATTTTTCATTGAGAGAACCATTAGTTATTGATTTAATAAAGTCAGGGAAGCTTGGAATTGTGAAGTTTATTCCAAACAGGAATGTGTACATCATTGCCTCGTTGTAGTGCTTTATTTGGTTGCAACTTTTCGCGAATTCTGCAGCATGAACCAAATTTGCGATGAATTGAGGAGGCTGATCTTTCTTTATGTATACATCCTTCAAAGCCATGTACAAAATTCCAGGAGAGTTATATCTAATGTCTTCTTCTTTTTCCATATCCTGGAAATTCTTGAGAATTAATAGATACCTGTAAATCTTCTTTGGATCTTGTTCGCAAATCAATGCTTTGTACAATACCTTGTAAGAGTAGTATTTGTGGATAATATCTTTCTCATCTGTAGCTTGTTTCTTCAGATCGTATTCGAAAGCATTGAAATCGCTGTTTTTCGGTGAAAATTTGAATGCTTCCGGAATGATTTTGTTGAAATCCGTGTTTTGGATGGAACAAAGGAGTAAATCGTTGTAGTAACCATATGTCGGATGATTGGAGTAATTGATATTGACATTGCAAAGGTTTTTCTCCTTTCTTTCCAAAGATTTATCAATTTTCTTCCTTATTTCAATCAGTTGCTTGATTGGAATGTTGCAGATCTTGCTGTAAGTGATATATGACAACCTGCAACCTTCTGTGTCTCTGATTTCCTTGAAATATGTTTCTCTATCTCCCAATTTCGAAAGAAGACCGCGATTTCTGACGTAATATGACTGGAAATCGACTTCGACTCCATCGCGGACTACAGGTAATACGTCGGAATCCAGGAAAAGCTGACGAGCTTTCGATGCTTTAGATGTTGCACCGGGAGGATCTGCTGTTTTGAACTTGCAGCGATAGAATGTAACATCTTTGATTTGTTGGGGTGATTTGGAGCCATTGAGCTCGAAATCAGCTAAAATGAAAATGTTGTCAATTGTATTTTGATCTTGGTTATTGAAAGCGTGCTCTTCTTGTTCGTTTAAGAAAAGAGTCTTGGGTTCGTAATTTGGCTCGCTATTTTTAAGAAAATCAAAGAATTCTGTTTGATTTTTATCGAGAAAGTCAGTTAGTTCCGAGGGAGCTTTGAAATATGTAGTAAGTAGTACTTTGAGGAATTCAATGAAGTACGTCTTAATAGAATTCCTTTTTTCATTTAACACTTGGAAATCTTGGCCAAACAAGATTTTGTATGTAATATATGGGATATCATCCTTGTATTTAATGCATAAGCCCTCGAATTCTTCAAGTTTGACTTTATTCTTTGAATTTTGGATCGAAATAAAAGGACTGAAGATATTGTCGATGAAATCTAGGAAGAGGGGTGTTACCATTGTTGATCTGATAAGAATCTTGGCTTCGTCTTTTTGGTCAGCTTCTTTTGTGAGTGCTTCTGCTAAATGTTCCAAAAACTTGTTGCAGCTATTCCCAATAGCGAAAAATCCGTAAAGGGATGGATATAGGCTGTATATTTTAATATCTGTCGGCCTATCGTTCTTAATGGAAAAATCAATTTCTTTTTTGTCAGAGCTTTCTGTAAATGCAATTTGTATTCCATTTTGTGGTTTTTTCATAGCATTGTACACGTACATAAGTTGCTTTTTCATATTCAAGAAGCAATCTTCAAGGATTTTTCTTCCTTCTTCTAAAGTTTGCTTGTAACATGGAAGCATAGCTATGTCCATTAACTTCTGACTTTTAACTTGCTGATGCAATCTTCTTGTATTTCGACCAAAACAACGCGATTCCATCACAGGAAAAAAAAATTAAAAATATACTTGTTGGAAATTTAAAAAAAAATTTATACAAATTCAATACAACCACTTTTTAAATTCCATTTAAAAAGTGTTTGTATTGAATGTACAAATCCAAATTTATTTTTATTGAGTTCGAAAAAAATTGAGATGCTCTCAAACCACTCAATAAAAATAAATTTTTAATTTAATCAAACGATTATTTTTCCAAGAAATATTTTTATTGGCGTGAAGTGTCAAATAATTCAAATTTATAATAAATATCGGTTTAATTATTTAAATACAATCATGTAGGGGTTGTTTATATATATATTTTTTGTTACTCACTCTCAGATCTAGGTGTTGTGTCACTATGAGAGTTGACTGAAATTAATTCAATAATAGTACCACTAATAATATGAACTAATGCATATAATTAATACAATTACATCGATATATGAAACTTCAATACTAACTTTATATTCGAAGTTTCAACTAGAAATGCTGCAATCAAAACAATTGAATTCAATATTTATACAAATAAAAAAATAGTAATTTTATTCTAATTAAGTCATTAAAGTAGTTGAAATGAGTGAAAGTGTCGTTGCTGACTCTTTTGATTTCTTTCTCACAATAAACAATATGATAATGAATACAATAAGAACTACTAAACATACAGATGCAATAATTATTGGTAAAATTATTTTATGGAAGAATTTTTTGCTGTCTTTAACTCCAGATCTGTATCCAAACCATACATATTCCAAGTTACTTGCTATTTGTGACTGGTTTGCATAATTCTTCCAATCTTTCTTTGATGGTAAAATTATCTTAAAATCTCTGTGATTTACGAACTCATCGAACACTCCTTCTTTAAATGTTTGTGGTGGGAATGATCCAAATGATATGTTTTTGATGGAAACACATCCAAAGAAAACAAAATCTGTTTCATTTGATACAAATTTAAGAGAAGTAAGATTAACTGTTTCTAAACTTGAACAATTAGCAAAGTTATGATGTCCAGTGAAATTAACACAGCTTTGCAAGTTCAAATTCTTAAGAGATTTGCAAAAAGCAAAAGAGTGGCATCCGATAGATCTAACCTTAGGAATATTAATTTCTGCAAGGTTCATACAGTTTTCAAATGCATGGTCGCAAATTTCTGTGGCAAGATCTAATGAAATTTTAATTAAAGAGACACAATTGGAGAAGGCTTCATCCGAGATTGTATCTGCCATAGGAAGGTTAATTTTCTCTATTTTATTGCATTCTTTAAATGCTGCTTCTTTTAATATGATTAAATTTGGAAGATTAATTGTTTTCAAAGAAGAACAGCCTCTAAAAGCAGAATTTCCTATAAATGCTGCTTGAGGGATATTGATATCAGTCAAATTCATACAATCTTTGAAACAATAATCTCCAATTGTTGTTGCAGAAGGGAAACTAATAGATGTTAAGTTCTTGCAGGCATTAAAAGCCGAAGAAGTAATAACAGTCACCTTAGGGAATGATATCTTCTTTAAATTCCAGCAATATTTAAATGTTGAATCTTCAATTTTTTGGATTTCACCCAAATTTAGAGTTTCTAATAGTGTACAACCCTGGAAACTACTTATATTTACCTTATTACACTTAGGTAGATCAACATTTCTTAGTTTTGTGCAATCTTGGAATGCAGATACCAAAATTTCTTCAACAAAATCAAATTTTATTGATTCCAATGATTGGCAACTACTAAATGCCGATTCTCCAACAAATGTTATCATAGGAGCATCAATGTTTTTCAGTCTAAAACAATCAGAAAAAGTGAAATCATCAATTTTTGTCACTTTTTGTGAAGTGAAGTTTTCCAATTTCGAACATTCTTCGAAAACTTTATCTCCCAAGAAAACCAAAGAAGGTAAATAAACAGAAACTAATCCACTGCATGTAGAGAATGCAGAACTATTCACAGACTTGCAACTAGGCAAAGAAATATTAGTAATTTGAACACAATTCATAAAACTTGCTTTGCCAATTTCTGTCACTTCACCTAATTGTAAACTATTCAATTTTAAGCAAAAGTAGAAAGCATTTGTTTCAACTTTCGATGCGCTCTGGCAATTAACTTCAACAAGTTTTTCGCAATGCATAAACATTGAATGACCAATTTTTGTCAGTTTTTGCGCTGTAAATTTTTCCAATTCTTTGCAATAATTGAAATAATCTCCGTTATCAACATCATCGACCAAATCTGTTAAACTTGGAAGATCTATTTCAGATATCAACGTGTTCATGAAACAGTTTGGATACAGAACACGAACATTCGGTAATGAAACTTTCCTTAAAAACTTGCAATCCTTGAAAGCGGCGTTTCCTATTTCTTCTAAATAATTAAAATTGATTTCGGATAATTCGCTCGCTCCAAAACTCGCTTTTCCTATTTTAGACAAATAAGGAAAGTCTACTTTGTCCAATTTCAGTCCATAAAAGCCAAAAGCTCCCACTTCTGTGATATTTCCAAGATTTAAGGTTTTGTAAACTTTATCGTTTGTCAAACCGTAATTTCCGATTACAGAAACCAAGGGAGTGTCCAAAACATTCAAAAGTGGGCAATTCCAGAGTGTGTAGTCTTCTATTTTCGTAATTTTGGCGGCTTTGAACTCTTTGAGATTCTTGCATTCGCTGTAATATGCTGCGATGTTGTTTTTGTCTAATTTCTGGTTAATTAAGTTTGGAAGATTGACTGTCTCGATTGCTGTCCTTGCAAAACAGTATGGATAGAGTGTATCGATATCGCCGAGTGTTAATTGAGATAAGTTAATGCAATTATAAAAAGCATATGAATAAATTTGAGTAACTGCAGGGAAATTCACTGTTGTAAGATTGGTACAGTTGTAAAATGCACGCTCAACAATAGAAATCAATGATTGTATCGCGACATTTTGAATTGTAGTGTGATTTTCGAAAAAGCTTTCAGGGAAAGGAGAAGTTGAGACAGCTAACTCAATTGAAAAGTATGTAAGTGATGAGTATTCTGTTGTGTTCATTTTACGAAAGTCAAAATCTCCTGATGTTAATGATATTTTTTGAATTAAAGACTTTGTTAATTTATTTGTTGTGATAATATCATCTAAATCACTTCCAGTGTATTTAACATCATCAATTGTTGCGTCAAGTGCTAAACAAATAGAGAAAAAGATTGAAATCATATAAAAAAAAGCGATAAAAAAAATTTCCATGAAAAAAGGTGACATTTTTAGATTTTAATGAGCTCAAAGTATATAAAACAATACGAAGAGTACATCGAAACGTATGAACGATTGTTTCATATAAAATCAAACGAGTCTATCGAAGATACAATGAATATGATTACAAATGTTTTAATTTCAAAGTATCAAATTCGAATTCCAGATCTAATACTGAGCCTTATGACTGCAATACAATATAACTCTAGATCCATTGACATTTATGTCAAAATAATCAATCAAATACTTTCTAAATATACAAACACAGAAGTTAAAACTACTAATTTTGATGATTTGATAAATTATACATTATTGACTTTAATTAAGAATGAAAACAAAATATATCAATTTGAATACGATAAAGATGAATATCCAAAAGAAGATGATGTTCATTATTTTATAATGAATGATCAAATTGATAATTTCAAAGAATACCTCACTCAAAATTCACTAGAAGACATCGATGAATTTCTTTTTAATGATGAGATAGGCAGCTTGTCAGCTCTTAAGGCATGCCGTTATTTTGGCTCTGTCAACATTTTCAATTTCCTTATTAAATGTTGCGGCAATACTATAACACAAGAATGTTTAGAATTGGCATCAATCGGTGGAAATATTGATATTATCAATGAATGTTTAAAGGAGAATCAAATTGATGAATTCTGCTTTTTATCCATTATTGCATCACACAACAACAAATTCCTTGAATTTGTTTTTGAAAGAGATCTCTATAAATTTGATGATTTTAACTTTGATAACATTATTTACTCTGATTTATTAATTTATTCACAAAACTTAAAAGCAGTTTTTCTTATGTTTGAAAAAGATAAGAATTCAATTTTGCCATGGGCTTCTGGTTTTCCACAATCTCGTGAAATTTTCAAAAATGAAGATTTAGATTTTTCAACATATGGTAAAACTTCTCTAAATATTGCCGCACAATTCAATAATACTGATATATGCAAGTTTTTATTAGATAATAAAACTACTTATAAAATTGATATTAATATTAAGAGATCAAATCATATTAATTCCATTTATTATGCAACAGATCATTCTAATATAGAATTAGTTAAACTTTTGATTTCCCATGGTGCAAAAATTATATTAGATGATGATGGCATATATTCACTTAATTGCGCAGCAGCTCATAATAATATAGAAATTGGAGAGCTTCTTATCTCAAACGGTGCAGATGTCAATGAAATAGATGAAAATAACCTCACTGCTCTGCATGATGCTGCATCTAATAATAGCAAAGAATTTATAGAATTACTTCTTTCACATGGCGCAATAATTGATCAAAAAGATGAGATAGATTTTACACCACTTCATAGAGCAGTTTTATCTAATTCCAAGGAAGCAGCCGAAGTACTTATTTCTCATGGTGCTAGTTTAATAGCGCAGTCTGCAAAATTTGAAACTCCATTACATTTGGCAATAAGTTTGAATAATAAAGAAATGACAGAATTTCTCGTATTACATGGAGCAAAAATAAATGCTTGTTTTGAAGATATTGATCCTCCTTTAACATATGCACTTTCGAATGATTGTGATGAAATTGTACAATTCCTTATTTCATATGGTGCTGATTGTAATATAAGGAACGTTATACAGCAGACTCCTATTTTTGTTGCGATTTTTATGGGTGATTTGGAATCTACAAAACTTCTCATTTCTCACGGTGCCGATATTAATGCAAAAGACATGAAAGGTCGAACAGTTCTTCATTATGCAGTAAAGGGAGATCAGGATAAAGAAATTCTAGATCTTCTCATTTCAAATGGTGTAGATGTTAATGCTAAAGATGCTAAATATCTTACTCCACTTGATTATGCTGTAAAAACTAATAATACTGAATTAGAAGAATTTCTCATTTCTCATGGTGCAAATGTTCTTCCTCGTTCACCTCATATAATTGAGGATCTTTAGAGTAAACTAATGAATAACATTAATATATTTAAAATTCTAAAAATGGTGCACTCCAGAATAATATCCTATCCCTTTATTTTAAGACTTTTTTGCAAAATTCCTATCATTTAGTTGGAAATTCTAAATAAAATCCATATCCAAATAAATTTTGAGTTTGAAATTTTGGTAACCAATTTCATACCTTCATTTCTATACTTCATATGCTTTTAATTGAATAAATACATTGTAATGTGGTATATATTTGATGTGGCAACTTTAATCGATTATCAAATTTTATGAAATCAAGACTTTTGAGAATGTCGCCAAATATATTACTTGATTTAGATCTAATTTGACTATGAAATCATTCTTTATTTTTTATGTTGAAATCCTGGGAAATCAAACTTGATCTTTCCCAGGATGTAGATTCAAAAAAGATGTACAAAGAATGGAAGATTCAACGAAAAAATTATATTCGGCCAATAGGTCAATACCTTTTGACGCTTTCTGAAACAGATTTAGTGAAATGGTATGATACCATTGATGAAACTATTCATGATCGCATCAAATCTGATCAACACTTACTTGCGTTACTTCATATTTCACTGTTACATTATTTTAGTCGATCTGTTGAGAGAATTCGAAAACATATTCCATACATAGAGCAATTATTCGAATCTAAGAATAGAATAACCATAATGTGTGCAACAAAAGTAGTTGTTTACATAGCAATAGATTCTCATGAATGCATGGAATTTCTGAGAAAAATTTGCGACAACACTTGCAAGCTCATAGTAACTCAAGCGACACAGTTTGCAGCTATATACATACTAAAGTCATGCGGTAAATATATACTACCTAACGTTTTCGAGGAAACATCAAATTTTATTGATATAATTCAGTCATGTTTAGTTTCAGATGACATCGAACTTCAATTGATTGCAGCTAAAACTCTGAAATACCATTTCAAATATCAAATAACTTTAGATTCTCAAGATGAAGTTTTAAAATCCGAGCAATTTTTCAAAGAATGCATACAAAACATCAACCCAATAAACACAAATATGTTTGGTACGATGACAATTCTCAAATACATGCTTCAATTGTATCATGACCCAAAACAAGCGATTTTAATACTCCAGAAGGTCAATTTGTTCCCTTTTATCAAAGAAGAAAAGCTTTCATACAAGTGGTTTGATCTTTTGTTGACTTTGGTCAAAGATAAATCTTTATTAATCGTAATTACACCGGTTTCTGGTCCAGAAATCATCAAATCTCTATTCAATTCATGTAAGAAATTCCATACTGTTAAAATCTGGCGATATACCAATGATTTTCTTCGAAATTTAGTTCCATCAGTTATAAATCCGTATATGTGTCAATGTTATCTGCATGATTTGCTTAAGGAAACAAAGAACCCGGCCATAGCTTCCAAGATTTACGACGCATTAACGATTTTGTTGGATAAATACGAACTGAAAATTTCATCTCAGTTTTTCTTGAATTACGAGCCATCAATCAGTTATTTGAATGTTCTTAGTAGGAATCCTGTCTTAGTCTCTGAATTAAAGAAGACTTTGTTGAATTATTTTCATATCGGAATTCAAGAAAGGGCTACAGTTGAACAGACGAAGGTTTCTATTAGTATTTTGAACTTATATGGTCGTAATCTGTTTGAAAATCTAAATGCTGTATACGATGACATTCAAAAACTCGTAAATTCTCAAAATTCCGAAATTCGAACTTTAGTTTCATCAATTTTGCCATTCTTTACTGACAAAAGAGCTTTAGAAGACTGCCAGTACCTTGCTTTGTTCGATAATAATCCAAATGTTCGCAAATCTGCTGTTGATCAACTAATTAACTTCCCAGGAGCTGAATTTTGTGAAATGATCCCTCAAGTTTTAACAGATCCATCATATGAAGTGAAGAGAAGTGCAATTAAAGTGATTTCTCAGCTTGCTCCGAAAAATCCGATGATTTACTATGTTCCGATCACTTCTTTTGTTCAACAGAACATGTTATCTATGACAACAACCCCTGATCCCACAGTATCTCATGATATTTCCACACTTTTGCCTCATATTGCCAAACATCTTTTGCCGTTTTGTCCTGCCTTCATTCCACAGATCATGAAAGTCTGTTACAAGTTCCTCAACAGAAGGCGAAACAAAACTACGAAGTCGGCAAAATTGATCTCAGTTTTGCAAAGGGATATGTCGCAGTACGGCTCTGAGATACTGACGGAATTAGAGCCATTTGACCAATTCTCCACGAATTTGAACCTAGTTTACAATATTCATAACAAAGATATAATTGATGAGAGAGATGCCAATCTTTTCGATACTTTATTGTGTTTGTCTGATCGTATCAAACCATTTATCCTTGATTTGATCGCGATCTACAAAGACATTTTCACATCCCAGAGAAATGACAGAGTTTACGCCGCCGCTTTACTTTCTCTGATTGATATTGTTAACAAATTCGATGATTCAGCCTATATAACTCAGAAAGAGCCGGAATTCGCCACTATTTTGATAAATCTTTTGAAACAAAAACCATCAGAAAACGTGGCTATGCTTATTCTTAAACTTCTTAGTTCATTTGGTATCACTGACTATCCACAAGACAATTCCCAGGTCGAAACCAACGAATTTGACTTCAAAAGTAAGAGTTATTACACAGATTCAGTCATGACCAGCCTTTTGAAGCTTCTCCGAGAGAAACAGAAGTGTGTCTTCCAAGCAGTAAACAGTATCTTCGTCCATGACCCCGACAACGCCGTGAATTACTTAGATCCAGTTATAGATTCCTTTTATATCATGATACAGACCCTCAAAACCAAAGAGAAATCTGAGTATTTCAAGTATCTAGAGGTTATTTCCCATCATTGCGGCATAAAAATCAAAAATTACGCTGAACAAATTTCGCAAATGATAAAAGATAACATAGATTGCGATGAAGCACTTAGAGTTGGTTGTGTATTATCTTCCAACTTGAAAACAGAGTTCACGCCTTATGTTAATCCTTTATATCATCTTTGTTTGGCAAGATTTAACAAAAAGTGTCAAATTACAAAAGATTTGACAGATTTTTTAAGTTTTTGTGTTGTTTTTCAGAACCAACCAATCTCTTTTTTGATCACGTCATGTGAAACAATACTACAAACTAATATTAGTTCAGATGTTTGTAATTTAATTGTTGACAAACTGACGATGATTGTTCAATTGACAGATACAACATTTGAGACAACAAGGATTGCGAGGATATGTGAATTATTACTTAAGAAAGGTTGTAATGCCATGGAATTATTGTATTCTTTAGTTGTTTTCAGTGATTTGAGTTTCGATTATTTGAAATTCATTGTTCCTGAAGAAGATATCGGATTTCTTGCGTTGAAAGATTACTTGGAATGCAATTCTTTGTCTGATAAAAAGAATTGTCCGTCAAAAAACTCTTTCTTGAGTATAAAAACAGCTACTTTCAACGTGGAAAAACCAAGTTTTGTGCCGCAAAAAGAACAAAAAAGTCAAAAAAATTATGTTTTTGACACTTTTCAATTAAATAATGGAAATAATGAGAAATGGTTAGATGATTTATGCAGGGCTGTTATTACTGAAAGTCCTATTCCTGTCATTAACGCATGCTATGAAACAGCAACACAGTTTAATGAATTCAAACTCGAAATATTTCCAATCGCTTTTTTGAGTTGTTGGGTGAAATCATCTCAAATTCACAAGGAAAAATTTTCGAATTTGATGTCATCTATTTTCAAATCTAAGCATCCGGATCAGATCTTCTTGAACCTAGCTGAAACTCTCATAAGGGCTTCTTACGGATTCAATGTTTCTGAACTGGATTTGGCAAATGCTTCTACTTCACCTTTACAAAGTTTACGTTTTCTCTCAAAATATTATCAAGAAAACACAAATGATAAGAAAGCTTTGGAAATGCTGTTAGGAATATTTACTAAGTTGGGAAGGATAGATTCATGCCGCGGAATATTAAAGAACGTAGAACTGCCAAACGCTGGAAATTGGTCATTGACTTTAGGTGAATGGGATAAAGCTTTGGAAATTTTTGAAAAAAGTGACAAAAATTTGCCAGAACGATTAATGTGTTATTCGCGATTAGAAAGGTGGGAAGACATCTATAAATTAAATGATGAGTTCCAAGATATGAATGAAACCGAAAGGTCTAATACTGCTTTGTTTTTTGCATGGGCAGCTTTGAAACAAAATGATTATAATAATATTTCTTTGTTTATGAATTATTTGGAAGAAGAAAAGAGTTTAGATGTTTTTCTATTTACTATTTTTTATTATACGCAAACAGGAATGTTCGAATACGCAAGGAATAAGATAGAAGAAGCCATGAAGTACTTAGTTAGTGATTGTACTGTTTATAATTCGATGAATGCAAATCAGGCAAAAACTAATTTGATGTATTCTTGCTTGTTTACGGAACTTGGAGAGGTTATCGACTATAAGGAAGGAAAAGTAAATAATATAAGCCAAAGATGGGAAAGAAGATTGAATAATATTTCTGGAGATTCTTATTCATGGATGAGATTGGCGGAAATAAGATCAATGATAATAAATCCTACAAATAATACAAGGACATATTTGAAATTGATCTCTGTGCTCGCAAAAGATAGAAAATGGCATTTATTAGATAATTTCCAATCAATTGTCTACCAATTGCTGGATAACCCGAGCGTTATTTGTTCTTATGTAAAGATATTGTGGTTAAGAGGCAAAACAAGCGAAGCAATCGATGTTGTAAAGTTATATAATGATATCTTCAGAGCAAAGAACGATGAAGAGATTGCAAACTCATATAATAATACTCCTGATTATGTCAGAGCTAAAATGGCCCAGATTTATCAAATAGAACAGTCAGAAAAAGGTTTTATTCAATTAAATCAAATTTTGAAGAAACCAACTGACAAAGAAAAGGCAAGAATGCTAAGAATGGAAGCTTCTTATAGAGCTTCTGATGTTTTCCATGATAATATTGACATAGCAATCAAATTATTTATTGAATCTTCTAAACTGAACGCGGATGACTACAGAACATGGTCTAGATGGGCTTATGCATGCACGAAATCGATAGAAAACGACAAAGAAGGACTCTACGTCAAAATGGCCGTAGATGGTTTCTTAAAAGCCTCATTTTTGTCGAAAGAGAACTCTTTGGAATACATTTGCCAGTTGTTTAGTCTCTATTTCAGATACGGAAACAACTTTAAAGAGTTCCATTCAAAAATTCAAAATTTGAATCCGCAAACAATCGAAAAAATCATTCCTCAGATTGTTTGCCAGATCTCCCATCCAGATCCAACTGTTCGCAGTGTTGTTCATAACATTTTGACGAACTTTTCTCGGTTATATTTCCAAGCATTAGTTTTTCCACTTCAATTAATTGCAAAAGACGACGAAAACAGCCAGAAAACGGAAATAGCCAAGAACTTGCTTGAAAAACTCTCCGAAAAGCACTCTAAACTTGCAGAAGAAGCAAATCTTTTTGCATCAACATTATCTAAGTGCGCAGTTACTTATTACGACATTTTCCTGCAGAAACTTGATGAAGCACATTCATACGAAATCAACTGCGAGCGCGAGAAAGCAATAGAAGTCATAAAATCCCTTTCTCAATATCAAAATCCGAAAATTCAGTTGTATCAAATGCAGTTCAACCAGTTAAAGAGTAATTTACAGAGTTGCCTCCAAGCAGCTAATTCTAACAACAAATCTGACGAAAGGAATGACCAAATGTGGGTCCAAATCAAGAGATTCCATGATGAAATTCGTTTGAAACTAAAAAGTTTTGATACAATTCAAATTGAAAAAGTGTCAGAACAATTAGCAGCCAAACGGAATTTCCTTTTAACTGTTCCAGGCACATATCAGACTACTGATTCAGGCACTACTATTAACTACATTGAGCCTATTTTGACTGTTCTTGGTACTCAGCAACATCCAGCAATTACAAATTTTGTTGGAAATGATAGTTTGAGGTGGAAATTTTTGTTGAAAGGGAATGAAGATTTGAGATTGGACCAAAGGATCATGCAATTCTTTGTTTTAATCAATTCTCTCATTCCTTCAAACAAACTCACCCAGAAGATGAATATTTCCATCTTAAACTACACTATAACTCCTCTTGCAACAAACGCAGGATTGATTTCATGGGTCATGGGTGCTGATACAATGCATCAGCTGATAAATGACCACAGAAAATCAACAAAAGTTCATCAAGTGTCTGTTGAAAACGAGATACTGATAAACAATGTTGGAGACTGCATGCAGACAATGAATTCCTTGCAGAGAATAGAGTGGTGGCCTGTTGTTACAAACCAATGTCCTGCAACTGATTTGAGAGATATTTTCTGGATGAAAAGTCAGAATCCTGTAAATTGGATAAAAACTGTTGATACTTTTGTTTTGTCAATTGCTTTGATGTCTCTTGCTGGTTATGTTGTTGGATTAGGTGATAGACATCCAAGCAATATAATGATAAGAAGAAACAGTGGACATGTAGTTCACATTGACTTGGGAGATTCTTTCGAAGTCACTCAGAAAAGAACAAAATTGCCTGAAAAAGTTCCGTTCAGATTGACAAGGATGATTGTGAACGCGTTGGGAGTATCTAAGACAGAAGGAAACTTCAGGAAGGCATGCGAGAATATAATGTACATGCTGAGATATAACAAGCCTTCTATTTTTGCTCAGTTGGAAATTTTTGTTCACGAACCAATTTTCGCGTCAAGAGCTGTTCAAGGAGACGGAAATTCGATAATGAAGAGAGTTTCGATGAAATTAAATGGATTGGATCCAGAATTGGTGCCAGGAGAACCTGTAACTGAGGAGTTATCCGTAGAAGAACAAACAAGAAGGTTGATCGCAATTGCTGCTGATCCAATGAGATATGTAACTCATTACGATGGATGGTGTCCTTATTGGTAATATATTTTTAATTGTTATCTAAATATATATTTATAGTTTATGTTTGTTTTAAGAAAATTACTCTCCTTTTTTTATGATTCAAATATTTAATAGTGTTTATCATCACTGTCATATATAAAATACTGTGACTAGATCTGAGTATCGAAAATCTAATGCAAAGTGGAAAATATGCATACAAAATTAGAACAATATTGGTAATTCACGCCTGTAAAAGCAGATATTATAGGCGACCCTTAAATCAAATTGATCGATATAGCTATAAAATTATTACTATCCTTTTTTAATCAAATTAGTTTGTGAGAACATTGGATAAATCCCAGAAGAATAAATTTACTAATTAAATCCAACTTATTCACGAATTACGAGGAAACATGAATTGATTTTGGAAAAAATTCTGTTTTTCAGAAAATTGAAAATGGTATTGAATTTCAATACAGACAAAAATGTTTCCTTCTATTGGAGAATCTGAAGAATAGTATTCCATAATGCTTTGTCTCGCAAGAAATGGATGTAATAACTTGCAAAAGACAATAAATAATGAAACAATTGTGACACTTTTTACGGCATTTAAATAAGAAAAAAATTGCCAAGATGGACTTATTTGAAACCGAAAATTCTCAAAATTTGTGAGAAAATCTGTTAGTTCATTTTCTGTGGGAGATTCATTACTATTGAATGTTACAATGGAAGATTGACACCTTATCCAGTTGTATCACTCAGCGAAAGGAAGTTCAGAGTCACAGGAAGCAAAAGATGTCCTCAGAAGTTCAGAAGTGAAATCACAAAAGGCCCGATATTTGTTGTTACTTTTTTAGGAGATGCATGGAGTATGACAATCCACAAAATCTGCAGTGCTTATGGAATTGATCTGCCAAAGACAAAATGTTCCCCTCATCTACAAAATTATCAAGAGAATGGAATCTGATCTAAAATCAGCAAAGATGTCGAAAGAAAACCCTAGGTTATATAATATTTATATAATATTTATTCTTATATATAGAATCGTGAAACTAGGGAAAATCATTAGCTATTCTTAGCACCATGTTCAATTAAGAATTCCTCAATTTCCATCGAATTAGATTTGATTGCAATACTAAGGGGCATTCATTAATATATAGAGAATTCTATAAAGTAATTATAAATATAAAAAGGAAGAGAATTCCATAAAATAATGATAAATATGAAAAGAAAGAGAATATTTTGTTTGTTAACATCAGCACCATGTTCAACTAGGAATTTCACAATTTCCATTGAATTAGCTCTAATTGCAGTACAAAGAAGGCATTCATTAAAGTAAAGAGAATTTTATTATAATTTGATAGATATTAAAAGAATAAGAATTTCATAAAACAATGAAAGATATGATAAGAAAGAGAATTTTATAAAACAATGATATATATTAAAAGAAAGAGAACTTTATAAAAAATGATAGATATAAAAAGAAAGAGAATCCAATAAAATAATGATATATATGAAAAGAAAGGTAATTTCATAAAATAATGATAGATATAAAAAGAAAGAGAATGGAATAAAATAATGATAAATATAAAAAGAAAGATAATTTTATAAAACAATATTAAATATAAAAAGAAGGAGAATCCAATAAAATAATGATAGATATGAAAAGAAAGAAAATGTCATAAAATAATGATAGATATGAAAAGAAAGATAATAATATAAATCAATGTTAAATATTAAAAGAAGGAGAATCAAATAAAATAATGATAGATACCAAAAGAAAGGTAATTTCATAAAACAATGATAGATATGAAAAGAAAGAGAACGCCATAATATAATGAGAAATATGAAAAGAAAGTGAATTTTATAAAACAATATTAAATATATAAAAAAAGATAATATAATAAAATAATGATAGATATAAAATGAAAGAGAACACCATAAAATATTGATAAATATGAAAAGAAAGGGAATGATTTGTTTGTTAACATTAGCACCATGTTCAACTAGGAATTTCACAATTTCCATTGAATTAGATTTGATTGCAATACTAAGTGGACATTCATTAAAATAGAGAGAATTTCATTAAAAATTGAGAAATATGAAAAGAAAGAGAATGTTATAAGATAATGATAAATATAAAAAGAAATATAATATAACAAAACAATGATAGATATGAAAAGAAAGATAATATAATAAAACAATGATGTTGCATACTAAGTTCAGTCAACGATAGAAATTGAGTGGAAATTAATCGTCGAGGAAGTACGATTATGTAAAGTAAAAAAATGTTGTGGGATTTTTTATATTATATATTATTTTATAATAAAATTTTTTTGAGTCATTTTAAGAAGCACATATAATTTTTTGAATTTAAAAATTAAAGTAGTGTCAAACGAATTTATCACTTAATTTAATACTCAGATTTCTTAAAATTAATGAAAAAAAGGTTTTCTGAGAACTTTTGAGAATGGTTTTCAAATTCCATTATTGAAAATATATAGGTATTGTATGAAATTCAAACTCTATATTTATTAAAATTCTAAATTTTTAATAAAATAACTTTTCAGAGGAATATGATTTTGAATGGTTGATTAATAAGTATAAAAATGTCTACGATTTTAAGGAGGGAATTGTTCCTTATGAGGTATACATCATAACTATATACCTCATAAGGAACAATTCCCTCTTGATAGCTGGGAAACTTTCTCTGAATAACTTATCATTTGGAGAAAGTTTCCCAGCTATCTATTAGAAACTAAAGGCTGTGAGGCACCAATATATAATCAGTGCCTCATAGCCTTTAGTTTCTTATTAAAAACGAGAAACTTGTTCGAAATGATAAACAATTTCGAACAAGTTTTCTCGTTTTAAGGAGGGAATTGTTCCTTATGAGGTATACATCATAACTATATACCTCATAAGGAACAATTCCCTCTTGATATCCTGGATATTTTTGAATATATTTTTTTAATTAAAGTTCTCAAAAGTATTATCAAAAGTGATTTTTTAAAAATATCTCCAATTAATTAACTAATTAAAAGTATTATATTTTTAAAATTAAATAGTTTTTCAATTTTTTGAAGGAATTGAGATACTTCCCACGACAATAAAATTGAGAGGTTTACATTATGACTGATCTTAGCATGCAACAATGATAGATATGAAAAGAAAGAGGATCCAATAAAACAATGATAGATATGGAAAGAAAGAAAATTTCATAAAACAATGATAGATATGAAAACTAAGAGAATGATTCGTATGTTAACATTAGCACCATGTTCAACTAGGAATTTCACAATTTCCAGTGATTTAGCTTTGATTGCAATACTAAGTGGACATTCATTAAAATAGAGAGAATTTCATTAAAAATTGAGAAATATGAAAAGAAAGAGAATGTTATAAGATAATGATAAATATAAAAAGAAATATAATATAACAAAACAATGATAGATATGAAAAGAAAGAGAATTTTATAAAAAAATGATAGATATGGAAAGAAAGAGAATTACATTAAACAATGATAGATATGAAAAAGAAGATAATATCATAAACCAATGTTAAATATTAAAAAAAGGAGAATGTTATAACATAATAATAAATATGAAAAGAAAGATAATTTTAAAAAACAATGATAGATATAAAAAGAAAGATAATATAATAAAACAATGAAAGATATGAAAAGAAAGATAATATAATAAAACAATGGTAGATATGAAAAGAAAGAGAATGTTATAAAATAATGATAAATATAAAAAGAAATATAATATAACAAAACAATGATAGATATGAAAAGAAAGAGAATAAGAATCATGTTAACATCTGCACCATGTTCAATTAAGAATTTCACAATTTCCATTGAATTAGATTTGATTGCAATACTAAGGGGGCATTCATTAATATAGAGAAAATTCTATAAAGCAATTATGAATCTAAAAAGAAGGACAATGTGATGAAATAATGATAAATATAAAAAGGAAGAAAATACCAAAAAAACAATGATAAATATGAAAAAAGAGAGAATTTTCTTAATTAATGAAAAATATGTAAAGAAAGAGAACACCATAAAATAATGAGAAATATAAAATGAAAGAGAACACCATAAAATATTGATAAATATGAAAAGAAAGGGAATGATTTGTTTGTTAACATTAGCACCATGTTCAACTAGGAATTTCACAATTTCCATTGAATTAGATTTGATTGCAATACTAAGTGGACATTCATTAAAATAGAGAGAATTTCATTAAAAATTGATAGATATGAAAAGAAAGAGAATGCCAAAAAATAATGATAGATATGAAAAGAAAGAGGATCCAATAAAACAATGATAGATATGAAAAGAAAGAGAATGCCAAAAAATAATGATAGATATAAAAAGAAAGAGAATGATTTGTTTGTTAACATTAGCACCATGTTCAACTAGGAATTTCACAATTTCCAGTGATTTAGCTTTGATTGCAATACTAAGTGGACATTCATTAAAATAGAGAGAATTTCATTAAAAATTGATAGATATGAAAAGAAAGAGAATGCCAAAAAATAATGATAGATATGAAAAGAAAGAGATTATAAATATCGTCGATATATTCTCCATTGGAGAGTAAATAAGAGGCAACATCATAATTTCCGAAAAACATACTTTCTGCTATTGAATAAGGAGTTTGGCTAAAATTTGATTTAAGGTAGTCAGCAATTTCATAGTTTCGATATTTCAATGCTGTATTTATCATTTTATCAAATGATAAACCATCTTCTATCATTTGCATAAAAATGTCTTTATTTCCGCCTTGAACAGCATACATTTCGGAGCTTTCAGTGTATTTAGCTCCTAAAATTTTCAAGTAATTGAAACACAATTCCGATCCATATTTAATTGCACAATTAAGGGGTGTGATTTCATAATTTATTTTCTTATTAATGTCAAGATTTGGGAATTTGCTCTTAAGATTATCAACTTTATCCCATGCAATATAGTATAATGGAGATTCTGTTGGATATAAATTGAGAATTTCTTCTTCTTTCTTTGTAGGACTGAAATATTCAAATTTGAAACCTTAATAATGTAGAAGGGTGGTTAATTTCATGTTCTCTGGTTTGATGATGCATGAGAATTCGTTTAATATCTTTTCGTAAAGTTCTGCTAATAATTTAATATTTTTATCACGAAGTTGTGAAATAATATCAATCAAGCGAAGTGACATTTTGATGGATATTTTGTTATTTATAATGAATTCTATAATATTTGAAGAAATTTGTAAAATATTATTGGAATTGACACCCCAAATCATTTTTGATGCTTGATTAGGGTATTCGAATACTTCAATTAGCTTGATATCAATAAAATCACATCCGGTTTCATATTTTGATTGCTCAGAACTTGACATGCTTTATAAAATTTTTGGCTGTGACACTTTTTCCAATGTAAAATTAAGTTTTTAATAATTTTTTTGAGTTATCTGATCTAGAAATTAGATTCATAGTTAATTCACATTTCTGCTATATGGAATACTCAATTCGATCAAAGAATGGAAATGAAATTTATACTATACTGTCAGTTATTTTGAATGGATACTACGGCTTTACTGGGCTATATTTAATTTTCATGGACCTAACTGGGCTATATAAAAAAATATCGACCCCAATAATTCGATTTGTATATTATACCCTATATAAGTACTTTGCATAATATATTAATTGAATGAAATGAAACTTAGAGAATAATAAGTGATTTGCCCCAATAAAATCGTCTCTTTTGGAAATACACAAATCTAAAAAAAAATGGAATGTTATATAATTAAGATAGATAATATATCTTTAAATAAATATAAACATACAATATATAAAAACAAATAAATAATAAATAAAAATTATTCGTAATAATCTAGTTTCCATTTCTGGAAGAAGTTCTGTAGCATCTCAATCAAAGATCTCATTGTCTGCGGGGAGAGAGTTGCGAAATCAACAGTTGGAACAGGGTCAGGTAATTCGATTTTTTCATTTTCTTCAATAATTTTGACAATTTTCTTCACAATTCTCAATGATTTCTTTTCATCGAGTTGCGAATGTGCCTTGTCAATGTTATTCAAGAACAGTGTCATCTCTTCATTCGTCAATGGCTGACTCATCATCTGTTTCGCGTTTGGATTCTTCGGAGGCCTTCCTGGTCCTGGTCTTTTCGGTTTGACTTCGACGTCTTTGTTCTTCTTCGACTTCCCAGGCGGTCTTCCTCTTTTCCGCACTGGTGGGGAGTCGTCGCTGAAGTCATCGGAGTAGTCGTTCGTGTCCCAGTCATCGGAACTCTCGAGTTCGTATGTGTCGTCTTTCAATTTGAACTTTTTGCCTTTTTGGGACGTTTTGGCTGCTTTCTGAGGCTGAATAACATGAGAAACGGGTTGTGGAGTGGAATCATCACTGAAACTATCCAATGATTCCTCTTTTTCTTCAATTTCTCTTTGAAAAGTGTCACTTTTTCTGATTTCATCTTTCTTTTCATCTTTTTGAGGAGAAACAGGTGAAACAGGCGATTGCTGCTGTTTTTCATCTCTCTTGTAGTACATGTTGACGGCGGCGTGGACTCCTTTCCCTCCCATTGTTGATTTGCCCCTTGTTTTGCCTCTTCCCGCAGAACTGGACGAGGAACTAACAGTTGTGGTCGAGACAGGTGGAGGAGGAGGTGGAATTGAAGGGGGAGAATCTGATGAATCTGAATCGTTGGCATTAGACTCATCTTCGTCATCTGCATCGTCATCGTTGGCTGAGAACTGGAAGTTTGTGTCCTTTTTGGCCGCTGAAGGAGTAATAAAATAAAGATCTTCGTCATCTTCGTCGTCAATGGCTTTTTTGACTGGTTCTGGCTTCTTTGGCTGGGTCTGTGGACCTTTCATGGCTTTGGTTGGGTTATTCGATGGAGTTTGCTTGGATTGATACAAATTCGAAGAAGAAATAGCTGTTGGAGGAGGAACTGATGGAGTTGTTGGCTTGGGAGTGGTTTGTGCTGTTGGAATTTGCCTTGGAGGAGCTTTTTGGCCAACATTTCTTTGGGATGAAGAATTTGAAGTGGAAGGAGTTGTTGGATTTGAAGCGGGCTGCTGGGCAAAGTATGATGATGGTTGGATTGTTGGAACAGGAGGTCTTTTGCCTGGAATTGTTTGGATTGTTGATGGATTTTCTTTCTTTTCAGTTCCGAAGCTGTTTTGGAATGCAGAAGGAGGCAAACTCGCACTTTGATTAACTTTCTGTGCTGTATTTGCTGTTTGTGGCTGTTGTTGTGGAGATAATCTTGGAACATTGTTTTTGACATTCATTGGCTGATCAAATTGGGAAGAATTAGTTGTAACAGGTGATTTAGCGGTGGAAGGAGCGAAAGAAGGAGGTCTTTTCCCTGCAAATTGTGGATTTGCAGAAGATTTCGTTGGAGCTACAGTTTGGGACAGAGAATTCATCGTGTTTGAACTGGAACCAGTCATTGGAACAGTTGTATTTTGGTAAGAATTCGAAGATTGTTTGGAATAACTCACATTTGAGGAATTTTGTTGTTTCGGAGCAGCAGGAGTTGGTTTGTTCTGCATATAAGATGTATTAGAAGTGGAGTTATTGTAAGTTGTTGACTGATTTTGTGTTGAATAAAGATTTTGGTTCTGGAAAGAAGAAGTTGATGAATTGGATGTCTGGTTCTGGTAACTGGAGCTATAACTATCGTTGCTTTGGTAAGGAGAAGCGTTTTGGATGCTGAATGGAGACTTTATTTCAGGAGGAAGAGGTGGTTGACCTGAAAATGACGATTTCGGCTGTGAAACATTATTTGATTGAGAATTGTATAGGTTCTGGCTCTGTCCGGTGAAGTTTTGCTGATTATAATTTGAGAAGTTGTTGAGTTGCTGGTTGTTGTAGGTTGTATTCGAATAAGAACTCTGATACGATGGCTGTTGTTTGGTTTGTGTTGTCAAATTTGTCGAAGTGGAAAATTGACTTGAATTTGGAAGATTTTGAGAGGAATTATTGGAGGGAATTGAATATGATGACTGAATCTGACTTTTTGTAGTTGCTGGAGTTGTTTGGTTCATTTGATAATTTTGTTGAATTTGATTTGGGAAATTTGATTGGTTTAAAGAGTTCTGTGCATTACTTGTTTGACTAGATGCATATGGAGATTGCATTTGGCCGGAAAATGTTGTTTGATTTTGAGAATTTGTTTGATTTGTAAAATTAATTTGGTTTTGAGGCACAGAACTAACATTTGAAGTAGATGAATAAGTTGTTTGCATCTTATTAGGGATGTTCGTCATGTTCTTATTGATTGTTGACTGATTTGAATAATTTGACTGAATTTGACTTGAAAAATTCATTTGGTTCTGAGTTTTAGAGGTGGTTTGTGTTGAATATGGTGACTGGACCTGATTAGTAAACGTTGTTTGGTTGTTTGAACCGGAAATTTGGTTTGAATAAGGAGATTGAACTTGGTTTGCAAAATTTGATTGAGGAGTTGCAGCAGATGATTGGTTGGAGTATGGACTTTGTACTTTGTTTGAAAAATTCACTTGATTCGTTGAAGAACTCGAATTTTGGCTTGAAAAAGAATTTTGAACTTGGTTTGGGAAATTGAGTTGATTCAATTGTTGGAACATGGCCTGATTTTGAATAGAAAATGAGTTTTGCTGTGAATTTTGATTTTGATACGAATTTTGTGTAGAAAAAGTACTGTTCTTCTGGTTATTGGTATAAGACTGAGTTGTTTGTTGACTTGGATAGCTGCTTTGGTACTGAAATTGTGTCTGAAGCTGATTATAGTTTGAATTTGTTGTTGAACTTTGGAGTTGAGATGTATTTTGTAGCTGGTTGATGTTACTGTTCGATCCAGAATGAGGTAATGGGCTTTGTGTCATAAATTGAGACTGATTCTGGATTTGGTATGAATTTGAGTAGTTTCTTTGATTCTGAGTAGCTGATGTTGATGTCTGGTAGCTGGAGCTCTGAATACCTATAGGACTTTTCATTTCAAAGCCTTGATTTTGAGAATTATAATTTTGCATAAAATTCATCGAGTTTTGTGTACTATTTGTTGGCATACTATACGAAGATGCCGATTGTTGCATCATTGGCTGCTGATTGGCCGCATTTTGTGAAGAATTCGTATTTAAATTTCGAGAAATTTGGGAATTCGATGTAAACTGGTTTACATTTGATGTTTGTAATTGATTCTGATAAGAATTTTGGCTTTGGCTGAAAAATGAATTTTGATTTGTCAAATTCGAGCTGTTTAGCGTAGAATTTTTAGAATAAAGGTCATTTGATACATTGGAATACGAATTCTGGACATTTGATGGCTTTGAAGCGCTATAATTCGAATCATTGTTGAAATACGAAGTTTGAGATGGATACGATGGCTGGTATGTATTGTAAGATTGTTGTTGTTGTGCCATGTTCATTTGGCTCTGGTATGAAGTATTTGAGGAAATTTGATTTGAATTTTTGTTGTAAGAGCTAATTGTGCTGACAGGAGTCATCAGACTATCATCCTTGTAAAAGTCATCGGTAATTTCTTTGTTCTTTTGCTGTTTTTCGTCAATTTGGAAGAAAGACGTTTGTTGTTGCGAATTTTCTTGATTATTAGTATTTTCTTGCTTTGAATTTCTATTAGGAAGTCCTTTCGATGCTGTTCGTTTGTAAATCTTTACAGGAGAAGTAGGAGAATATTGATTTTGCGAATCTTCCATTTTTTGAGGCATTGTAGATGCCTGCTTTGGCATAAATGGTGTGTGATCGTATTGTTCTATTGGTTGTTGTATAGATGTTTGGTATTTCGGTACGAAATTTGATTTTGGAACAAAAGTAGGAGATTTTGCAGTAATAAATGGGCATACATAATTATTAGTCATTTGTGTTTGTATAACAGGTATTGAATCACTCATATATTTACGATTTCTTCCTGGATTTTGTTTAGTAGGATTTAATGCCATCAATGTATGGGTAACAAGCATATCAGATCGTAGACTACTAGGCACTTGGTTAAATATTTCATTAAACTTTTGCCAATACTGTTCAATCTCTGCATTTAAGTCCGAATTTTTAATTAAATTCCAATATTTATTTACTTTTCGTTCAGTATATATAGCCAGATAGCCGTAAAAGCCAACTTCTCGTCTGTTAATACGATCATCATATAATTCATTCGATCTTTGATGTATAATTTTAATATTATTGATTAGAATGCGTAAATCTCTAAATAAATCATCTAACGTTGAATATTTACCTAATCTAATGAAGTTTTGGACATCATCTAGTCCTATAGCCTTCTCGAAAATTTGTGGATAATTAATAATGAAAAAATTATACATAGAATTACTATTTCGACTGAGCAAAGATCCTAGTGGAGACTGTTTCAGCTTTAAAAGAAGCTCTTCTACTAATGGATTTGCAAAGTCTCGAACAAAAAACATTATTTTCCTCTTACGGTATGAATTTTTTTTTACAATTTGTCAGTTTGAAAAATGCACGAAGAGCATATATTATTATTTTTATCAAACTAAAAATTTACTGACGGCAAAATTTTTAAATTCAAAACCTTCTTGATTTGTGAGTAGAAAAATGGCCTAATTTAAGTGGGGGGCATTATGATCATAAACACATTCGAAATCTGTTAAAGACAATATCTATGAGAGGATTGTGAATGACAGCTCCCCTTTTTTTAGAGGGAAAAAAATCCTGACAATCTCACAAATCAAAAAATTTTCCAGTTTTTTTTTTTTCAAATAAAAAATTTAGATGTGGTATTTGGTGCCATTGATTTTAAATTTGAGTGTATATATTAATACAGTATGATGTCGATGAATAAAAGCAATAATCAAGAAAATAATTTGTGAATTTCACGGTGAGATGTGTATAACAGACTCAAAATGTATGCAACATTGATAAAAGTATTTCATGAAGGTTATATATAATTTCTTCATCAATTGATATTATATATAAACTTGAAATCATATTCTTCGCGTCTTTCTCTCAAAATTTGAGTGAAATGAAAGGTTTACACGCGAATAATATGATTTCAAGTTTATAGTTAGTTATAGCATATAGAATTTAGTAAATTTAATGAACAAAAAGGAAAATATAAAATAGATTAAACAATATTAATTGATTCATTTTGAACACTTCTATCTCCATCAGACTTGTGGCATATATTTTCAAGTGGAAGGAATAAATAAACAATAACTAAAGCAATGAAAATTAAAACAAGTAAAACTAAAGCAATTATCAATCCTTTGTTGCTGCTTCTTTTAGCACCATTGCTTGTAACCCACTTAAAATCATCTGTCAATTCTTCATCAGTGCAATTTCCCTGCCTGACATCAGTTTCAAACATATCAGCGTAATGATAGTTATCACCTGCATATGAATAGTTTGCTGTTCCATTAAACAAGTAATAATCACCGCTGTAGCAAGCTGCAAAAACTTTTTTCAGCGATGTAATATCAATACTCTGAACTGAAGAAGGAATAATAAGTCTTGCTGCAGAAATTCCTTCATAGAAACTACCTGTTGGAGTTTCTATAACATACATATTATTGTTCAATGTCTGATCTTGGATGTTCTTTATTCCATCTGGAATTTCATATAACTCAGGAAGAGCTCCAATTGTGCAAATCAATGTTTTGGTAATTTTAGAGTAAAGTGCCTGTGATTTTATTTCAAAATATGGATTCGAACTTTCAATTGTTATTTTAAGTTTTGGAGAGTTTTTGAAAGCTGATGAATCAATATATTTCACATTGTTTGGAATAGAAATAGATTCGACATAAGAATTTCCGAAAGCATATTCGCATATTCTAATTACTTTTTTACCAATTGTCACTGATTCCAAACTTGTTGTGTTATAAAACGCATGATCTCCTATCTGATAACAAGTATCTGGAATAGTGAGAGAAACAATTCCTGTATTTGCAAATGTGTACGATTCAATGGTCGTTGTTGTATTTAAGAATGAAACGTCCTTTAATTTGTAGCAATTATTGAAACAAGATTCCAATAGTGATGTAACACTTGGACATGAAAATGTCTTCAGTGAATAACAATTCCTGAAAGCATGTTGTCGAATGATTGATATTGGGAAAGGAAATGTTACAGTTTCAAGTTTATAGTCATTCTGAAATGATGAGTATCCGATTTCACTTACATAAACAGAGCATGAAAATTCTTTTAATCCGCTCATCTGGCTAAAAGTATTTGTGGTTATTTTTGAGCTGTTGAAATTTTTAATTGTTATTTTTTCTGGATAATCACAAAACGTGAATGCATATTGTTCCAAAACTACATGGTCACTATCAATAATAATTTCTTTCAATGATGTTGTAATTGAAGTGCAGCCTATTCCAAGATGATTTATATTCTTTGGAACTGTGTATGTTGACTTTGAATACGTAGGCAAAATTGCAAAGAAATAATCATATCCTGTGAGAACATCATCTTTCACTTTGAACATTTTGTTTTCTTCATCAATTACGAATTTTAGTTTCTTGGAAGTATTTATTACATTTGTTCCATCAAACCAAATTGTATCTTTGTTGAATATGATCTTTTCAAGATTCTTGCACCCGCAAAATGCAAAATCCATATTTTTGAATTTACCAAACGTCACAGATTTTAATTCAGAATTTTCGAAAGCATATTTATATGTACCAACATTTGAAAGATCAACATGTTCAATTGGACCTGTTTTAGCGAATGATCTTTCTCCAAACCTTTCAACGGATTGAGTAATAGTTACTGATTTCAAACTACTGCAGCATGCAAAACAAAAATCTGGAACACTTGAAGTTGAAATCGTCAAATCAGTCATGCTTGTACATCCTTGGAAAAGTCCCTGACATTGAGAAATATCAGCAGATACTTTGATAGTTTTGATACTTGTGCATCCTATAAATGAATACTTACCAGGAGTCCATGATGCTGGAAGTGATTCTATATTGATTTTGAAACAGTATGCAAATGCATAGTCTCCAATTGTTAATTTCGTTTGTGGCAAAGTTATTGATAAAACATCGCAATAAGCAAATGCATAATTTGATATTGTAGTAAGATCTTTTGGTAAATCAAATGATGGAAGAATCTTGCAGTTGCAAAAAGCATAATCGGAAATTGTGTTAGCGTTAGGAATAATTACGGATTCAAGAGCAACGCAGTCTTTAGCAAATCCTTTCCCAATTATATTTGTATTGATAATAACTTTCTTTATGTAACTTGATCCATTAACAACACCAAATGATTTTGTCATATCATAATTGAAGCTGGAAGGAATTTCTATGCTTTCAAGGTTTGTGGCTTCAAAACATCTGCCTGATAATGTTGTTGGTGATTGTGAAAAAGTGACTGAATTGATTCTCGAGTAGGAGAAAGCGCCGATGCCAATTTTTGTAAGAGATTTTGGAAAAGTAATTGAAAGGTTACCAGTGAACCCAAAAGCATAATCTCCGATTTCAATGTATTTTGCACCAGATATATCTACGTATTCAAGTGAAAAACAATAACTTGCAAAATTATTTGGAATTCTTTCAACTAAAGGAAGAACGATCTTTTTGAGATTGTGGCAACCATGGAAGAATGGACCTGATGCATATTTAACGTTTGACATTTCAATTTCGGATAATCCAGATTGAGAAAATCCACGTCCGCTGATTTTTTGGACACTTGTTCCAAAATCAACTCTTTTTAACATCTGGTTATTCTCAACTGCAAAAGACATTTCAGAACTGGCCTTTCGTGTAACAACAAATTCTTCATTCAGATCCCACGGAAAATCTGTTGTGTAAATACTACCTTCCTCAAATGCAAAAACAACTTTTTTAACGTTTTTTCTGATAATTTCAAGTCGAGAGTTAAATATATCTGTCCCGATATCTTTAATGGTTGTTGCTGTATATGTATCGCCTTCAATAACGAACTCGTTAAGAATTGGCGATTTATCAAGGAGGAAATGAAATGTAATAGAAGAACGAAGCATAATTTAGTTATAAAACTCTTATATTCAATTTTGAATGACACTTGAAAAATTCAATAGATGTAAAATTAATGTCGGGCTTGATTTTTCGAGAATTCAGCTATATACATAAAATAAAATGAATTCTTCTCAATTCAAAAATTGAAAATCCGATGATAAGTATATTTGGAATTTTTTGTATATTATTATTTATACTTTTTTTAATCTGATCAAATTGAATTCTGTGTTTTTCAGAACTTATTGTCCAGCGCAATTTGTCCATCTATTGTTTCCTAAAAACTCAGTATTGAGATGACACACTTGTTTTCATTTAAAAACTTTAAATTGGCAACATGTCAATAAAATTCGGTTCGGAATTTAACATTTGAATTTGTTCCCAATTTCATGTTTCGTTCTTATGCATTCGTGTCCACTCTTTTAGCTCGTAACGTAAAAACAAGCCGCTACACTATAGATGGTTCCACGATCACTATTGATACAGATAAAGATTATAATTCAATAACATATAAAAAATCTGAAGAACTTCATACATCTGGGGTTACTAAAGCTATTATTACGGTCAATGGATGGACAAATAAAGCATTAGATTCAAATCCTCTGTTTTATTATATGCAAGAAGTAACATTTCAAGGCAATGATAATATTTCAGTTGGTCCATTATTTAGTAGTAATCTATTCATACGCAGTGTTTCATTTAAAACACCGAATATTGAAAAAATTTCAGATTATTGTTTTTCAAATTCATCAATTGAAAATGTTGATATTGCCCTTGTAAAAAACATCGGTTTGGGATGCTTTATTGGTTGCACAAACCTTAAAGAAATTAATTCTCCAAAACTTCAAATTATCCCTGAAAATTTCGCAAGTTTTTGTTTCAGTTTAACAACTGTTGATATATCAGGAGCCACACAAATAAATGATTATGCTTTTGCATATTCTGGAGTCACGACAATCACACTTCCCCAAACAATAAACTTAATTGGTTTTGGTGCATTCAAATGTTCATCACTTTCCAGTATCACATTTCCAAACACTGTCACAGGAGGTAGCTTAACTATCTGTGAACTTGCTTTTCTTTCTACTCCTCTTGAATCAGTCAATATCCCTGAATATGTTCAGTTTAAAGATGACGAGATTTCGAATGAAGGATATTTCAGTGAATCTCTCAATCTCAAAACAATAAATATTTTTTCAAGAGACATTCCAGCAGACTTTGCAAGGAACTGTTTGAATTTAGAAACACTTACTGCTCCTAATTGTTTATCTATTGGTGATTTCGCATTTTTACATTGTGAATCTCTTGAAACTATCACATTGAGTTCGAATATTGCAAGTTTTGGTAAAGCAGCATTTGCTTATTGCTATAAAATGAACTATCAATTACCAAACAATGCAATTTCTATTGGTGATTATTCATTTATATATTGCAATAATCTCAAACAAGAAGTAGCATATAATTTGTGGACATTAGGAAAGAATTCATTCACTGGTTGCAGCGGAATTACACAACTCAGACTTAATTGTTCTTTGAATAAAGGAAACAGAGGTGTTTATCAAAATTGTTATAACCTGAAAACTCTTTTAGTAGAGACTATATATGTTCCACGATATTGTTTTGCTTTTTGTTTAGCTCTTACAAAAGTCGATTTCGCTATAAATTCTACAGTATGTGACTTTTATTCATTTTTGCATACTGGTCCTATTGAATATATCAACACATCGCTAGTATTTTCTCTCAACTATGCATTCATGTATTCACAAGTCAAAACAGTTTATTGTTATGGATTGAACAATAATAACAATTCAAATTTGGCATTTGCGCATGATAAAGCACTTACATTAGCAGTAATTTGCTATGATGCAGCATTAAGTTTTCCCGCTGTTGCTTTCATTAATTGCACAAATATCCACTTTGAGTTTCGTGTAAATACACGTTTTAAAATTGTAGATAATGCTATTTGTTATGTAGATGATTATGATGACAAGTATCTATTCATATTTCTTCCTGAATTTGATCGAAAGACAGTGGAAATTAGTGACACAAAGTATTATAGTTTGGAAGATTTCTTCTTAGGAGCGAATACTAATATTGAGAAATTAATTATTGATCAGCCTGAAATTCTATTACAAAATAACGCATTTTCAAAATGTCTTTCCGTGAAAGAAATCATAATCAAAAGATTTAGAAACAAAGATATTGATTACCTTGCATGTTGGGATTGTTATTCACTTGAAAGAATTGAGTGGCCAGATGAAGGATTCCTTGATATCATGCCTCATTTCTTTCAGGGTTGCACAAGACTCAAATACATTAAAATGCCAACAACATGTAGATCTATTGGTTTCCAGTCATTTCAATATTGTACAGCATTAAATGATTTGGATATTTCACGGGTTGATTTAATTGCATCATATGCTTTTTATGGTTGCTCATCGCTGACAAATATAAAAATATCTAAGACATTAAAATATATCGACACTTGTGCTTTCGGTGGATGTCCTATTAAGTCATTTACTGTCCCAGATACATGTCAATTTATAGACGAATATGCATTTTCGAATATGAAATATCTAAAGAAACTTGAAATAGGAAAAAGTTGTTTATATATCTATCCTAGAATTGTTTATCAATCAAATGTCGAAACCATTATTTTGCCGAAAACGTGTCTTAAAATTGCTGAAGATGCTTTTGATTCTGCTCCTTATGCAAAAGTTTCATTCTCTGGAAAGAGTCCTTATTTCAAAGTCATTGATCATTCTATTGTAGACAAAATTTCTGGAAGATTAATTTGTACATTTGGAGCATTACCATTGGATTACAGTATTCCTGATGGCGTTGAATACATTCCAAGTGGTTCTTTGCGAGGAAACCAATATGTTATTGATTCACCATCTGGTAATTTCCTGAAGGAACCGACAGCAACAATTTTAAGAATTTCAGAAACTGTTAGATATGGCGTTTTTAACTCTCTTAAATGGACATATGCAGCATGTACAAAAGGCTCATACTTCTTTAGCAGCCAATATGGTTCTTCATCTGTTTCAGCAGCTGATTCTAATTATGCAAATCCAATATTATTTAATAATTTTGTTGGCGAAGATGATTGCGACAAATATGCCAAAAATATTCCAAAGGATTATCTTTGGTACCATGAAAATGAAGAAATCAATAATTCTATTCGGAGAAATTTAATCATTTCAATTGTTTTCTTTTGTATTTTCATTGTTGCTATTATTGTTTTATATTTTCTATATCCAAGTACTCATTTCATGCCTAAATTGTGTGGAAAAACTAAAGAGGCTAAAAATGACTTGGAATGAAATAAACACTGTTTACTATTTTAATATAATAGAAGTATATTTTTTGTTGAAAATATAGGAAGGTCTCAAAAAAATCCAAACGCGAAACTATTGATAAACAAGCCATTGACTAACGAAGAGATGGAATCCTTCTTCAAAAGCACTGACAACTGATGAAATGAATGCGATTTGAAAATAAAAATGACAAAATTAATAAAGGAAATCGAATTACCGCAGCCCACTCCAACAATTGACTCACTAACTCTATCTCCCAGATAAATCTATCTTGAATGAGGTGGTTCAGGACTTGTTCTAGAATTTGAAGCTGAGATTCAAGAAATTTAGAAAGTTTTCAAAGGATAGCATATAATTCTTTGATAATTTGTAATTTATAAATTTTTTGCTATAAATTTATAACTGTTTCTGTTCGATTCATTAGACTACGGGATTGAAATTTAATTTTCCATTCATGGGTTAGTCTATAACGCTTTAGGTACCAACTTTGCGGATCGAAGATCCGCAAAGTTGGTACCTTCCATTTTTTTATTAAAAAGTATGTTATTATATGGGAAAAATTAGAGATTTCGATCTCAAAATTTAAAATCTGGTTATTTTGGATTCTTTCGCTTTGGGAGGGCGCTTCGCGCCCTCCCAAAGCGATAAAAGTTCGAAAACAAGGATCTGAGAAAATCTGATATCAGAAAAAATGACTTTGGGTATGATAAATATCACTTTTACAATTGATACAAATTATATTGCACATTATTTTGTAATTTTATATTTTCAAAATTTTCGGATTTTAATTTTGATTTAGATCTAAATTTTATTCGATTTTATGAATGCATCTCTCAATTTATTAAAACGGTTTTTGTTTTCTCAAATTTTTTTCAATTTGAGAAAACAAAAACATTTTTAGATGAAGTGTTATAAAATTCTGAACCAGACTTAATATTTATTGTTGCAACGAAGTACCTCAACTCATAGGTCTTTACCATGAATGTCTGTCTCTAGAATTTCTCAATTTATCTTTGCGTTCAATATTTAAATTTACATTCTTACGAAATTCCACAACCTACCACCTCCACACTAACGCGATCGTTAACATCGACCAATCTATCAAATATAAACATACATTATTGCTTTATAATATGAAATTTTTAATAAATTGACAAGAAATAAGCTATATCAAGCATTAAGATATAGATAAACTATTTGTTCAAACTTTTTCGATTATTTACGAATTAACTGAATGCTTTTTAGGGTTTGATTCTGATATAAAATTTTAAAATCTCTTTATTTTTTTTGAATTACACTTCTCATTTGTAATATCTTATTTCATGGATTTAAGACCTTTAAGAGAATAACAAATTTCAACTTAATCATAACAGACTTGTTATTAAATTGCAATCTTGCATCGATAAATTGGGTTAATAATTTAGTGTTGTCGCAATATCTCAAATAACTCTGTTTGATTTTACAGATCTTTTTGCTTGACTTAAAATTATGTGATATATTCAATGAACCATAGTGCCTATTTATAAGTCAGTATCAGTATATATGATTATATGATTCCAAACTATAAAATGTGATCTTTTGATTATGAATTTCATACGTTGAGAATAATTTTAAGAGAAACAACTTGGAACGTTATGTTATATAGAAATATGTAAAAAGAACTCATAAAGAACACAATTTGTGATAGTCAAGGCTATTTTGAGTTTGTATTTGCACTTGATTCTAGTTTTTTGGGTGTATCTTGATTCATTATCATTACAGCATATGAAAGTTTGATTTTAGCATTATTTGTATGGTAAGCTTCGATAGAATAAATATTTTATGTTGAAAAATAAAAAAGTTAATGTACGATAATTCCTAATAAGAATTATCGAAAAGAGTTTATAAATATTGGTATTCAAAAATTGAAACAAAAGTTTTATTTCGGAGAAATATTTTCACTTCAAAAAAAATTATGTAGTCATTAATGCTGTATGACATCTATTCTAAAAAATCGAATTAAAATAAGGGTTTCGTTTTGCTAAAATTGTCACTTTTATAGCATATTTGTTTTTGGATGTTTTGCGAAACCAAAAAAAAAAAAAAAACTATGATATACAATGTGTGTGTAAAGAAAATACTTTATTTACTAGTTAAAAAATCATTTGGTATTGATCAAGTTATTTTTTCTGGATAAGATATTATATGGATAATTGGATAGAAAATACAATTATATAATCTTGTACCTGGTTTAATTAAGCTAATTGTCATCAGAAACTTGTAATTTTTATGAATTTCAGATTTCCTTTTCATTACTGCTTTTCTTAATAGGTCAAGTTCTTATTTACGTTATAAAGTATGATATTTACAAATATCAAGTTATCGTGTTTTTTGAGAAATTATGAGAAACAAACAAAAATGAAAAAGATAGGAATAGCAATGAATAGTGATGTGGGTATAGAAAATGTAAGAGATATGAATGCAAAGCAATCAGTATTTAGGACATTGACCATAGATTTCGAAAAAAAAATGCTGCATATTGAGCGAAAACTATTATTATATTATAAGGCTGTCATTTAAAGCATAATGAAACTATTCCCTTTTCATTTTAATCGAATAAGATAGTAAAGATTTTTGAATTAGCTAGAAACTGATGAGATGTTTTCACAAATCAGATTTTTAATCTCTATAATGCATAATTCACTCAATATCTCAATTTTGATATTGCGAGATATTTTTGCTATCGGTTTCGCAATTTTGACACAATAGCAAGAGGGTTCTATAAGCATTATTATCAACGTAGAATCTGAATATCATATCAGAAAATGCCGCAAATCTGACATTTACCCGACCAAATAGCAAAAATAATTGAATACTTTTCGCAAAAACTTTAAAAATCGATAAAAATATGAAATATAGATATTAAAGAGACTTTTTATTAGGGCTGTACAAGATTTAAAAAAACATTGCCGGGTTACCGTAGAGGCCTAAAAAAATCGCGCCTCGGCGGCAAGCCGCCTCGGCATTAAGAATGCGCATCTAAATTTTTATATGTCCTTCTTTCTTTTATTTTTCCCTTCCCTTCCTTTTCTTTTTCTTTTTTTCCCTCCTCTTGCTCTCATTTACCTTTTTTTTCCTTTTCTCATCATTTTTCAAAATTTAAAATTTTTATCAAAAATCTTGCCTATAAAAGCAGATTATGGAACCTTTTAATGCCTCTTAATCAATATTATACAGCATAAAGCATATTAAATGAAAGTAATTACGTATAAATTTATTTTATTATCTTATTTATTAATTCTTTAGCATGTATTGTTTAATATTAACTTTTCTGTACATTAAATATGATATCTCCAAAGTATGAATGCCTTGTAACGAAACGAAAACTTAATTTTATGTTGAATATTTGTCACAAACATTAGATTATTAAAATATATGTTGGATATCCCTTAGTATGAGACTTCATGACTCTTGTTGTCTAACGTGAGCTTTGGATTGCAAGCTTGCTACAGCACATAAGTATTCTGTGGTTAAAAAAACCACATGAGCTTTAAAAACTATAAAACCAAAAATAATTGTTATAATTTAAATGAAGAAGTAATTTAAAACGATTTTATTTATGATCAAATTTTATATATTTTTTTGGATCAAATCCATTTTAATAGAATTTATATACTATTCATCTATTAGTAAACACTACCGTATATTATTTTTTAAGCTATCTTATTTTTTGAAATTTTATTCAAATCTTTGGTCGCATGAAGAATTGCATGATAAATAAAAACATTTAATCAAAGTCAATTTTATTTTTCATATTCAAATGGACTGAGTGTTAACATTTAACATTTTTTGCTAATTGTCGTCAAAAATTAGGCGTAAAGCAAAAATTGATATTTAATATGGTTTTATGATAGATAAGCATTATATTCCCACTCATTATATTCGTAAATTTTGAGGTTTATCCTTCGCTTTTAAGATCATTGAATTTGATTTTTATATAAAATAGTTATATATTAGAAAATAATATGAGTTTATATGATATTATTTTTCAGAAGATTTCATTCTATATGCCTATGAAAAGTACTCTCAAAACTAACTTTTCCTAATTATAATTAAATCTAGAATATTGTATTATGCTTAGTATTATTTCATTTTTCTCATTCAATTTAGAATTTACAAATGTCAAAAAATTGAGAGCTGTCACTTTTGATGAATTTCTGTTTATTACAGCATTGTTATTAATAATGAAAAATAAAGCTTATTTCAATGAAAATTGTTCTGCAAATTTATTTCACTTTTGACCTCACTTTTTCCGTAATTCAATTTTTTACTTTTAATATTTTAGATCTTCATAATATCATTTGAAAAATTAACCATATAAAAAAATCAAGTTATCAATTCACTTTTTCCGTAATTCAAAAATCAAAAATATAAATAATATATCTTTTTATCAAATATTATTATTATATTCTATGAAAAATGAGGTCCGGAAATTTTGCGGATTCCCGTAACTCAATTTTACGGAAAAAGTGCAGTAAACTATTCAAAATACGGAAAAATTGGTGTAAACTAATGATTTTACGGTAAAATCACGGAAAGTCCCGGAAGAATATATGTGCCTATATGAAATTATACAAAAATGAATCAAACGCATTTTAAAAGATTGTTCTTGTATTATAAATGCTATTCGCAGATTTATTAGTTGAAGAAAATTACCAAATTTTTGCCGATTTACAAAAAATGATTTACAAAGCATATTTTTATAAGGCTTTAAAAATCTTTAAAATGTGACCGGTGACGGAAATCCATGGTAACCAACCGCGGTTCCCGTTTGGAATGCCATACTTTTTATATAATATTCATAAAGATTTTCCAAAAATATGATACCGCAAAATTAACCTTATTTTAAAAAATTAATAAAATAATAATAAAAAATTATTGAGGATGTTTTATTGTCGTCTGGAAAAAGTGACAAAATTATTATTGTCGTCTAAAAAGGTGACAAATTATTATTGTCGTCTGGAAAA